CCTTTCAAATAAATGAATATTTATGTGAAGAGTTTAATAAATCTAAAACTAACATTAAGAATCAAAGCAATTAGAAGAGGCAAATTAATCAGCAAGTAATGATTCACAATGAAAGAATAAAAGATGTCAGGGAAGCAAAAAATAAAGCAGGTAAGAACTAGATGCTAATGTGATTATCTAAGATGAAGTCACAGAAAAATTAATTCCCTTCAGGAATAAATACCTATTTTCCTTGGCATTTGTACACTTAGAAATGCACTTTGCTGGGTTGTTTATGAATCCTTTCATCCCTGTAATGAACATTTATTGTTCCCCAGTATCCATTTTCATTTTTCTCTCCTATCAGCACCTAGTTTTTCCTTTGAAGAAGACCCTGCTGACTTTGTGTGAAAGCCATGTGATTCTGACTAGAATGACAGTACACCTTCTGGTAGAAACATTGTAAGAGCTAATGTGTCTTTTATTGCTGTCTCTTATTTTGCTACTGTTGTACTTGTTGGGTTTGGATACTTTTTCAGTTTAAACACTTCTAATCCTAATGCCTTCCTCCATTTTATGAAGATAAAAATTATACACCAACATCCATATTAAATTACTTATAAGTAATTTAATTTTTTATAGCAAAATCCATCAAAACTCTTAATGAAGTCCTCTTAAATGAAACAGTTGCTCACCGACATAGTTTTGGAAGAGGACATCACTTTCACCTTCTTCCTAGTGCAGCTGTGTGTGCCCACACATACGACAGTCCAAAGAACATTGGGCTTTCCCTTGGGGTTATGGAAGTTAGTCGACTGAGAACCAAAGCTCTGGGCCATTCGTGTGTGACTTAATTTGATGCAGGAGCACCCCATCGTCTCAGCAGGTCAAAGACTTTAAACTGGGGCATCAAATAGGTTTCTATACACCCCAAACAGTAAGAGTAAGAATGCCAAACACAAGTCATTTTAGTTATTTCTAAATCCCTGAATCGATTTTTCATTGAGAAATTTGTGGACAATAAGCTTTGCTTTTAAGGATCTTTTTAAACCATAAAGACCTATATCCCATGAAGTTAGAAAGTAAAGTAATCGGGTTGGTTTTCATCTGACAAGACCACCACAAAAGTTTCAACAGTGCAAAACGGAATGAAATGCTGCTTTTTCCCTTGTAGTCCTAGTGAATTTTTTTAATTCACTAGGTAGATAATACCTGTGTTGAGTGGAAATCAGAGACCAGTTGATACATTTCAAGTGTGAAACACAGACAATTATACTAATCATAGGATTGTTTTGAGGATTAATTGAGGTAATATTTATAACATGCTTAGAAGAGTATGTGACAGATAGTTAGCTCTTTATAAATGTATATAAATAAATCATATCTATTTCATGTTTTCATTCTCATGGCTTAATACTGTACTCTTGGATACTTAAGGAAATTCCTGAACAATGTCAACACACACCATACAAGCTATTCTGTGACTGTAAAGCTTTTTTTTCTCATTTCACAAAAGGATACCCTAAGATATGGCAAGTGCTTTTGTCAATTATTTTATTTTCTACTCTCTGACCTCAAAAACTCACACAATACCACTGTTTTTGTTTTATTACCATTTTATATATGGTTCCAAAACTCTAGCCCTGAACTTTTTCCCAAGCTCCATTTACAACTACCTGGGAGATATTTAATATCTGTGCTTCACATTTTGGTAAACAGCAATTACATTCTCTAATCTAGCAGAGTTAGAAAATTTGGATGCCTCCCTCTCTCTCTACATCAAATGAACTCAGTTAATTCTATCTCAAAATGTCTACCAATCACTCCTTCATCCCTATTTGCTCCAGTGACTCCTTCAGGCCCTACTGTGTCTCACCTAGATTGTAACATAGAAGACTCTCCTCTCTCTGCCTCTGTTTCTCTCTCATTATTTCATTCACTTTCCTCTTCAATTCATTTACACATCATTGTCAAAGTAGGCTTCCTAAGGAAAACCTGTGTTATTTCCTTACAATCACTTCTGCACGGAATGATAGTGAAACGGTAAGTAGCAAAGACCCTATCCAAGGTCCTTCAGAAACTTGGCTGAAATTGTTCTTTCCATATATAACACCAGCCAATTTTTCGCCTCCTTTCCCCAGATACTTGCTATTTTCTGATATAAAAATATTTATAAAGCCTTAATTTATGTGCACAATTTGAAAAACAATATGAAACTCAAAAGAAAAATAAATCACAGAAGACTTAAGAAGCTAACTGAAATGTGAATTCCAAGCTGTATTTTCCACTGTAGACATGTTGGGGCACCATTTTAGCTGGTTAATAGCAACTCTGGTGATCCAGATCCTTTGTTAACATCATGTTAAGTTGCTCTAAGTTTGTGTGTGTACCTGTGATAACTATTGAACTGATATTAAATATTTATTAATGGTATTACTGTTAAAAATGCTCCAACATATCAGTAACTTTGAAACAGAATTTAGAGGTGATAAAAATTATTGTTTATATATATAATTTTTAAATTTATTATTCCCTTTCTTATGGGCTGAATTGATATTTAAAGTTCACATGTTGAAGTCTTAAGCCCTAGTACACCTCAGAATGTGACCATATTTAAAGATAAAGTCTTTAAAGAGGTAATTAAGTTAAAAACAGGTCATTAGAGTGGGCCCAAATCCAATATGACTGGTGTCCTTATCAGAAGAGGAGACAAGGACACAGACAGGTATTGAGAGAAGACCATATGGAGACACAGGGAGAAGATGGTCATCTATAAGCCAAGGAGGAAGGCCTCAGAAAAAACCAACACAGCTGACACCTTGATCTCGGACTTCTAGACTCCAGAACGGTGAGAAAAAAAATTTCTCTGTTTATGCCACCCCCTCTACTGTACTTTGTTCTTGCAGCCCTAGCAAATCAATAGACCCTTCAAATATGTTTAAAAACATAAATACAATAGTTTCAGATTACTGTACTATGCAAGAATGTAACTTCCGTATTATACATTCCCTTCTATGGGGAAATGAGCCTCCATTTATATGTTTTTAATTATGTGTGCTCTTCAGAAACCCTTGCCTCAAGTAAAACGCCGAGGTTCTAATCTTGGCCATTCTCCTCTTCTGAGCATTAACTCAATGTCATACCTTTTTACTCATTCACCCTCGCTCAGCAGAGTTTAATGGAGTGGTTAAGGGTGTAGACTCTGGAGCCAGTCCACCTGGTCTCACAGCCCACTTCATCACTAACTCTGTGACTTTAGGCAGTTACTTAAAAAGCCTGGGCCACATTTGTCTCAGATACGTGTACAGTAGAAACAATCATAAGAGTACTTGCATTAGAGGGCTCTGTAAGAATCGAGTTGATATATACAAAGTGTGTAGAGTAGTATTGGGAACATAGTAAGTACAATTATGCTAGCAATGATCCCTCTGCTTGATTAGGCTCCAGTTATCTCTTTCAGAAAAACTTTTTATCCTTCAAGGTCCAGAAAAAAAATGATACCTCAACTTTGAAACTTATAGTGACTCCACTTCCCCTTTCTTCCCAGGTTGAATACTAAATGATCTTGTGTTGTCATAGGTATTGTAGAGGTTTGAGCTTTGGTTTTTAATCTGAATTCAAATACAGATTTTTTTCCATTTACCTATTATACAATTTCAGACAATTTGCTTAATTTGTCTGAGTTTGCACATCTAGTACATTACATGACAGGCATGCTCAGTATTTTTCTAATAAATACATATTTCATCTTGGGTCTGGGAGGATAATGTCAACCACATAAGATATTACAGTATTCCCAAAGTGTGAGACTAATGGAGGTACCAAGATAATTTTAGGCTGAGCATAGACATGGCATTAAGGACACTGAATCATACAGAGAAAATTCTTCTTTCAATTTTACTTCAATACTGCTGATTAGGTCAAGAAGAATTATCTCAGTTTGGTGCTATGTTTTAAAATTCTTTAATGCTTATTCATCCCTATTTTTAATCAAGAGAGATTCTGAGCCTTTATCAGGTAACATTTATTTAGAATTGAATCACATTTATTATTAATTACACTTATTTTTACTTTGAAATTTAGGACAGGTCACAGTGCTTTTTCCATTTATAGAAAATGATACAAATTTTTCTTTTAAAATAAACTCATTCAAGTATAAAAGGTAAGTTGATTTAAAGAAAAATATCACGTATTAATAGTGGTATGGGGACATGGTGAAAATCGAGGATAATATGCAAATTACTGAAATTTGGGCAACACTAACTTATATGAATTATTAGAAACGATTGTGTTCAATACATTTCAAGGTGGCTATTAAGTTCATTCTGTAAGATGACAGTAGCAATTAGTGATGTATCAAGTATTGTTTTACAGTAGTTCCAAGAAAAAACTAGAAACAGTACAATGGTGAACTCAACACAGCTGCTGCTTTTCTTCTGTACCAGACCCTGGATATTGCATAAAAGCCCACGAGAGATAGTGGGAGACAGACACTAGATGTGGTATACAGGTCTCATTATCTCTTATCATTATCCTCCACCTTAGAGCTCTGCCTGCCCCACAAGGTAAACACTGTTGAAGTGGTAACCCGAAGGTGATAGAGATTGAGGGCTTTCAGGATGTAATTTTTTTCCTCCTTCACTTCTGGCCCAAACTTTCCTAGGATACATTATTGCAATAAATTTTACTGCCCGTTTCCATTCGGATGCACATCAATTCTAGCGATACCGCAGACAACATGGAGAATACACCTCAGCTTCCAGATTTTAAACAGATTTTAAAAGTTACTCTCGTATTTTACCACTTGGTAGGTTAACCCCCAAGGTTTCGCTAAGAGCACTGCTAACACTGCCCGCGAGAGCTTCCCTCACGTGACTTCCTTACAGCTCCGCGCGGAGGTACGCTGACGTCAAGACGTCATGCGACGTCCGGACGTCAGCGAGTCGCCGAGCGTCTTGGGTGTCCTGACGGGGCCGCTATTTGGGCCGTGGTTCCCAGCTTGTCTTCCTCCCTGCTTCCGAAAGCGTGTTTGAATCCTGTCTGTCATTTCCTAGCGGGGGCGTCTTGGAGGAAACGGAGCCGGGGGTGATGGCGCCGTCGCGTCTCGGGACCCTCTCCTGACGATTCTCTTGCGCGGGGGGATGTGGACGCTTGCGGGTCAGGGCTGCTGGCGCAGACGCGCGCTGGCGGCTTGCGTCACGCGGGCTGCACGTCGGGGGCTTCCAGGGCCTCGCCCCGCGCCGACCCGGGGAGCTGCAGCCGAGTCCAAGGCTCCGGACAGGAGCTACAGCTCCGCGGACCGCAAGGTGACCGCCTCTGAGTTTCTTGTCAGCCAAGTTTTAAAACTTGGGAGGGGGCTCCTGGCGAATTTGGGAATGTGTCACCCTTCCTAGGACTACCTGTGAACGCAGGCTGCGCTTCTGAGAAGGGCGCAGGCTCCGCTCGGGTTTCTGACTCCATTGCTCACCAGTGTGACCTTGGGCAAGTCACGCCCTAACTTTCCTCATTGGTGATATCAGAACTGTTTTATTGTTTATGCGAGGTGCTGGTCTCAGCATGTATTTAATTTTAAAAGCCTACTGCGGAAGCTGCTCGTTCCATTTTCGTGCAACTTTTTAGCCATGGGACTTGGGCAAGTTACCTGACCTTTCTGTGACTGTTTCTTCCGTTGTTGAATGAGATGCTCATAAAGCTCCGAATGGCTGTTTGTGAGGCTTGCGCGGTGTAAGGCACAGACCTTTTACCCCAGTACCTAGACTGTAAGGAGTGCTGGGTATGCCTTAGCTTCTGTTTGTTTTATTATTTTGTTTAGCCTCAGCCGGAGCAGGCTTGTGCAGTTCTTCCTGTGGTTGGAGGAGGTGGGGCTTCATTGACTCTTAAAAACTATACTGTCTGATAACTGTGAAGAGATAACAGTTTAGGCAGTAAAGTAACTGAATGCAAGTTATGAGTAACTGTGGATAAAAAAGACTATAATTATTCGGTTTTACCCTTTTCTAAAATGCCTGTGGAATGTAAAATGGATTTATGTTGCAATTCCCAGATCTTAAAAATGGTGCAGGATTGTATATCTTTTGAATTGAGTGGTGGGGGGGAAATCCACGGGGCAAACAAATCAGGTTTAGTTTTTTTGCAGAATTCCTTTCAGGTGTAGTTGCACTCTTATTGTGCACCTTGTATTGGAGTACTTACAAAAAAAGGAAACTTAAGCTCATGAGAGTTGTGTATTTCATTGTAATCTCACTTTTTTTTTTGCTGGTTAGGAGATGAAAATTTGGAAAAATGAAATGTTTTGAGTACAAAAAACTGATATGTCAGTTTTTAGCAATGTCAGTTTTTAGCAATTTGCAGTGAGTCTCAGTAAAACAGTAAAGGTGTATGCAACTAAAAATCAGAAGTTAACTTTTCAAAATATTTTAAGAATTAAAGTGATAAATAAGAGGCTTTTTTTCCTGATGTGTTCATATTTTTTCCTTCTCTCTCTCCAAAGAAGTTGTCAAATAACAAAATCATCTAAATTAAACTTTTGAAGGCTCTACTAGGAGTACACATTTTTAAGTAGACTGTTGATTAAATATGTGATGGGGGCGAAAACTTTTCCTTTTATTCTTTCAGCTTCTCTGTAGCTTTTTTGTTTCAAGAGATTTTTTTAGACCAGGTGCTCCAAGGCAGTGGTAGCATTGGTCTGAGGCCTGTTAGGAACCGGGCGGCACAGCAGGAGGTGAGGGCCAGCAGGGGGGGAAGCTTCATCTGCCGCCCCCGCATCGCTCCCCATCACTCGCATGGCCGCCTGAACCTCCGCCTGCCCCCCATCCATGGAACAATTGTCTTCCATGAAACGTGTCCCTTGTGTGAAAAAGGTTGGAGACCGCTGCTTTAAGGCTGTAGAGGAGTTTTACGTATCTTGTGTTCTCCATTCATGAAAATACATTCAGTTCCTCGTTGGCCCTCGAGTGATGGAAAAAAGAGACTTTTATTTAGCTATCTGGTCACGTTTGACAGTGAAACCAATGTTTTTGATGGTCCTGTTGTAATCCATTGCTTGTAATACTACTTTAGCCATACGTCTCTTTACTGTCAGAGGAATAATATAAACAATATAAATGCTATAAATGAAATTGTTCTAAGAAGACTAAAAGAACATTCTTTAATTTAGTATACTTGTTTCATATCGTGCACAATTTATACTCATAAATGTAATATGTCTTTCCCCTTTCTAGGAAAAAATTGATATGTCTAGATTCCCTGTTGAAAACACTAGAAATTTCAGTATCATTGCACATGTGGATCATGGCAAAAGTACTTTAGCGGACAGGCTCCTGGAACTAACAGGTATTTTCATTTTATATTCTATACCTAATTAATGGCAATGAATAATTGATAATTACTTTTACCATGCTTTTTAAAAGTTTGGTTTTAATTGTATATGCAGTATTGTCTCTTTTTAAAAGCTCATAGAAATATCAATAAACATTTCTATTTATAGGGGCAATTGATAAAACAAAAAATAATAAACAAGTTCTTGATAAATTGCAAGTGGAACGAGAAAGAGGAATCACTGTTAAAGCACAGACAGCGTCTCTCTTCTATGATTACGAAGGAAAGCAGTACCTTTTAAATCTCATCGATACACCGGTAAATTTAATATCAATTTTTTCTCTATTGTTAAAGTCAGCCTTGTATTAATACTGCAGACAAATCCTTTTTTCAGTTTTTGAACTGAACATTAAACTTTGCTTTTTGTTTTCTCAGGGTTCTTATGTTAGTGTCAGTTGTTTCACAGGCACAGGCTAAAAAAGAAACCTATTAACTTTTTATCCAGTGGAGTCAATAGATTTACCATAGTGCCCCTCCCTAAGAAACATTTAAACTCCAACACTTAGAGGCATTAATATTTTTTGTTTCTCAGGGCCATGTTGATTTTAGTTATGAAGTATCCAGGTCACTCTCAGCTTGCCAGGGTGTTTTACTTGTGGTGGATGCAAATGAGGTAGGTACTTTAATTTTATATGACGTGATATGCTACTTGGTTGTTCCAGGGTTTTCCTTAAAATGCTTTGGGAAATAGAATTTTTGTGTTTGAAGAAAATAAGATTTATTTTATTACTTAAAGTTATGTTTTGGTCCTGTTAATTTGAAGTTTTATTACACTAAAGTTGTCTGTGAAGTTGACTAGTTCATTCTTTTAAAAATGTTAAGAGGAATTGTTCAAGAGATTTTTGAAGTATGTCATGTTATATATACATCCTACCAAAAAACCCTCAATTTTAAGCAGTTCTTAATCTGAGGTTTCAATTTTTTAGCAGAACTTGAAAATCTTTATTTTTGAGGTCATTTTGGGTGTTTTTAAGGTAATAATTTGGAAAGTGTTAGGTTTAAAGAAACATGTCAGTAACATTACCAAGTTCTCTGGTATAAATATAACCATAAAAACATTGAGATGAGAATACAAGAGCTATGATGTACTATTTAAAGTAAGCTTTTGATATATTTGTTTCTCACAGACTCTTCATTCAAAACCCAAAGATTTTGTTGTTGTTGTGTTAAATCTTCCCTGAGCCTGTCAGGGAGAGTCAGTCTCTACCTTACATACATATACTGGGGCTTTACAAAATGTGTCACAGGAGTCCTTTGGGAGGCTTAGAGGTCCTTAAGGATCTGTGTTTTACTGCTTTGTCTCCAAAGCCTAATACAGTGCCCTCTAAAAAACATTTCCTGAACTGAAAGAAATTTTCACAGGGAATGATCCAGATGCATGGAAGTATAGATACCATAGTTTGCCTTGTACCTTTGCTTTTGATGAGGATGTGTGGAATGGTCTTGAATTACAACTTTTGCCATAAATGGTGGAATGATCATCTTAGTGTCTTGTGTCTTGGTATTTCCAGGGTATTCAAGCCCAAACTGTAGCAAACTTCCTTCTTGCTTTTGAAGCACAGCTATCGGTAATTCCAGTCATAAACAAGGTAATTTGTTAGCACAACAGTGCTATCTATTATTTTATTTTGTAAACTATGTAAAGGAAAAGTCAAAAATCTGCGTGTAACTTTTGACTCCCCGCAGACTTAACTACTAATGGCCTACTGTTGACCGAAGCCTTACCAGTAGCTTAAACAGTCTCTTAATGCATACTTTGTATATTATATGTATTGTATACTATATTCTTACAATAAAGTAAGCTAGAGAAAATAAAATGCTAAGAAAATATATTTACAGTACTCTATTTATCAATATCCTAAGTTTATGTCATCTGTTTATAAGGTGAATCATCTCTCAGTACTTATATCAATATTGTCTTAGGTGATACAAAACACCGTAGATGCTATATGTATTACTGACGCCAGACTTCAAAAAATTAAAACATAATGTGAAAAAGAACTTCATATTTATTTGCAGGTATAATGATTCACGCATTGATAATGAAGCAGAAATGTGATTGCTTTATGGTATGATACTGTATGTGATTGCTTCATGGAAAACTAGCATATACACTAATGAATGAATCCTTATAAAGATTTTATGGCATACAGTATTACAGTCACATTCATAGCAGTATTGGAAGCATTGCTACATTAAAAAAAATATGCTTATATATAATTATAGGCTGATACGCAGTTTCTCCAGTTATGAGAGGCATACTGTATAGTAATGTAATTCTTTGAAAGCAAAGTTATAAAACAGTAAGAAAACCAACACATTATTAATTTTATGTTAAATATCACTCATCTTATGCCTTTGCTAGGGATAGGCTATCCACTCAATACAGGTTTTGCACATGATGTTCTACAAGTGTATTTTTACATATTTATTGAAAAAAATCTGCACACAAGTGGACCTGTGTGGTTGAAACTCTTGTTATTCAAGGGTCAGTTGTATATTGGTGGGATTTATTTCTTTGAATTGCATATGATAAAATTGCAACTCAAACTCCTATACCCTGGCATGTAGTTGAGAAGATGGTCTCCCTGACTTACATGGAGTGATGGGGGGCTGTTTCTGTAGTAAAGGTCAGGGCAGGCACAATAGTGTTGGACTAAACCATATAAAGGGAAAGAAAAGGACCTTATGAACTAGGATGAAACAGTGTAACACAGGACACTTAACAGTTAAGTGCTAAATTGAGCACTGTTGATAAAGCTTAACTTTTATATTTTAAAATTAATAAGAGTCTTAATTAAAAATCTGCATGGCATTCAGTTTTATTTTTTGATATTGAAGTTAGGTTTAAAAGAAGCAAGGTTGCTTATAGGTAACACAGTTTGTTGTTATAAGTTATATCTAACTTATAAAATTGGTTTACATGGTGTTATTCAACTCTTCTGCCTTGAATAGCTAACTGCCTCAGTTTCATGCTTGCTCTGCTGTCTGCCTATTTTCAGTGGCCATGCTTGTTAAAATTATATTGCCTTTTTCTAGATTATTCTTATTTTAATACTTTTGAAAATAAAATCATAAAGGGGTCAGTTAGTTTAAAAGCAGGTATGCTTTTATCTATCTCCAAATACCACTAATAAATAATACATTTTAATTTAATTATATTAAGACATAATGGTTTTTTTTTTAAAGATAGATCTGAAGAATGCTGATCCTGAAAGGGTTGAAAAACAAATTGAAAAGGTGTTTGATATTCCAAATGATGAATGTATTAAGGTAAAATACTCTTTTTTTTTTTTTTAGAAGACTTGGTTTTACTTTCAAAAATCTCAGGTAATTGGCCTAAGTATATTATTATCTTACAGTTCTACAAAGTTCTTTTTACTGATATTTCATTTGATCTTTGCCCAAAATCCCTATTATATGGTTAGGACAGATAGAAATTACTCTTATGATACAGTTGAAAGGACTAAGAGTCAAAGATTTTATCACTTTCTTAAGGTTATAGATCTAGTTAGCTAATGTGCCAGGACTAAAATGTAGGCCTCCTGAAACTCTTTATAGTATTATTTCTTGTATGCCATTTTGCCTCTATGGAAATATTCTCTTTGAAGAGCAGGGTCAGACTAATTTCAAGGCATATGTACATATCTTTCTTGGAAATAGATTTTATTTATATCAGTTGATACTATTTTAAATTTGAATTTTTAAATTTACCTTTTAAATGGTGCTTTGTGTGTTAAATAGCCATCCCTGAACTGTGCTGTGCTACATGCTTGTGTAGTAAGTCTGTCAGTGCAGTAATATAATGTTTAGCTTCCACTTTCAATCTTGTTTGAGTTTTGAAAAATCAAGTTTCAGCTGATGAAGTGGGTTTTTTTGGTTGGCTTTTTAAATTTTAACACATTGGATGATTATATAAACTTGGTAATAACTAGAAAAAGCAATAATTTTTTTTCTTGGATATATACATAGAATTTAATGGTTTTCATTATGAAGAGGGACCTCATTGTAAGGCAGTTCTGAAATTATGGTATCATGACTTGTATTATGTTATATTGAAGTATAATTAACTGTTCAGATTTTAATAAATCTTTACAAAATTCATTCATATACTTAATTTGGTGTGCGCCAGCTAGGGACAACAGCAGTGAACAGTACAGGCAAGACCTCTATCTCGTGTTTATATTCTGCTTGGGGAGGCACTCATTGAATAAGTAAAAAGAGAAGTAAGTATAGTAATTATTGAATGAGACATATGTTATCAAGGAAATACATTAACGGAGTGTATTGTTCCAGGTGGAATTACCATACTTAACAATGAAAAGTCTTTCTCAGAGAGGAGCTGTGATGCAGAGTAACTTAGGGAATTCTTCTCTGATGAACTGAGACCTGAAGAAATGAAGAGTTGGGAGAAATGCATTTCTGGAAGAGGAAGGAGCAGGTGTAAAGGCTTGGCATGTTTGGCAAGGTTTGGCATGTTTAAGGAACAGAAAGAAGACAAGTTAGATGAAACGGCTTTGTAGGTTAGGTGGGAATCAAGTCATTCTGGGACTCTTGCTGTGCTAAAGGGTTTTAAATTTTTAAGATAATGAAAGAATTTTAAAGCAAGAGAGGAAAATAAGCTGATCATTCAGGTTGCCTTATAGAGAATGGATTAAAAAAGGGTAAGAGGAGATATGGGGAAACCAGCTTGTAGTAGTAGCCCAGGTGCAAAATGGTGGTGGCTAAGTATGTGCTGCTGATGTTGAAGAAGTGGGCAAACTTGATGTGTATTTTGTGGATACAGTAGATTTTGCTGGTGTGTTATGTGTAAGGAAGTGAAATAAAGAATCATGGAGGGTTTGGATTTGAGCAACTGGTTGAATACTGGTATTTGTTAATATGGAGAGGACTCGGGGAGGAACAGACATAGTGGGAAAATGAAAAGCTCTGTTTTGGACATAGTGGGTTTGAAATGTCTATTAGACATCCAAGTAGAGATATTGCATAAATCTACAATTCTGTCATTTGTGGAGAGGGCTGAGTCAAAGATATTTAAGAGTCTCTAGCATGTATGTAGTATTGAGGCCACAGAAATGGATGCCATTTCCTAGGGAGGAAGTGTAGGTAGAAAAAAGGTCCTAGAAGCCAGACTACACTACATTATTATCAATTTGTAGGGGGTTTTGAGTAAGAATTTGAGAAGGATTAGAGAGTAGGATTCAGAAGAGGAGGATGCAAGGATTGAGTTTTCAGAGAGGTGAGAATATAGATTGTAACAAGAGAGAAGGCAAAGAGGTTGTGTATACAGGTGCAGATGGATTTGTATGTTTGGGTAAAGGAGTTTTTGATGTTTTCTGTTTCCTTAAATGAAGTAAGAGGCAAACGTATCTGAGAGTGAATTAGCCATAGGGAAAATGTGTAGATTGAAAAGGAAGGTGGTGTGAATTATCTTAATGAGCGACGATGTGAATTTAGTATGGGATGTGTCCTGGGACTACCAGGAAATGTTAACTGCACGTTGAGATCTGTGGTCATGAACTTACAGAAACCAACCAGACCAGTTACTTGACTTTTCTCCAGCAATGTTAAGCTGCTCTGATTATAGGCATAGAAAAGGCACATAGTTGAATGCAGTCACAGTTGAGGTTTTACCAACTGCTTAGGATAGAGAATAAAAAGTAGTTAAACAGAGTGATTACAAACAGTGGACCCTTGGAGTCTCAGCTGGGAAAAGAGGCAGGGGGTGAATGGATAATGAAAAAAAAATGTAGCCTATTCAGTGGATTAGAGGTTGTGATCTTAAAGGATTGTTGCAAAGAATGTACTAGAGTCTAAAGCAGTGGTTCTCATTAGGGGGTAGTTTTGCCCCTAGGAAACATTTGGCAATGTCTGAAGTCCTTTATTGTCACACTGGGGGATGGATGCTACTGGCATCTTGTGGGTAGATGAGAATCCATGGATACTGTTAAGCATCTTACAGTTCATAGAACAGCCCCCCAAACAAAGAATTATCCAGCCCAAAATGTCCTTAGTGTCGAGTTGAGAAACTCTGATCTAGAGGGACTTTAAAGGGTAAGAGGAAGTATTCATGGAATTGGGTTTGAAATAAAGATTTCAGAGATAAGTTCAATTACTGGTCATGACAAAGGTGAGTCAAATGCGTATGTGTTTTGAGTCTTTTGACCTGTATTTTCAGTGTGAGAACAATAGTAATAATATGCCCTACAGTTACCTGTATGATATCCACAAATATTGTTTATTCACACAGCAACCTTGAGGTTTATGTAAAATATGAAAAATCAGTTCATTTATCAGCTGAAGAATTTGAAGCTTAAAGAAATGTGTATTGTTTGAAGTCATTTATTACATGTGGAGTGATGATTATAACCCAGATTTTTTTGAACTCTTAGTCCACTGTTCTTTCAATACCATAATCAGAATGCTTTTTTAATTTAATACCAGAGAATCACCTAACTGTAATGGAAGGGCAGTTGTTGATATGCTATATGCTTTGTGCTTCCTTTTACCAAGTTCTTCAAGCAAATTGACAACTTTTAGAGTTCTTTTTCCCTTCTAATTATAAAGCTCAGTCACAAGGATAGAAAAGTGACGTCTTAACTTTTTCAGTGTTTGTTTCACATACATATTTTTAGATTTCTGCTAAACTTGGAACGAATGTTGAAAGTGTTCTTCAGGCAGTCATCAAAAGAATACCCCCGTATGTATTTTGCTCTTTTATACTATTTGTTTATTTTATACTATTTATACTATTTGTTTATACTATTTATACTATTTGTTTATTTTATACTATTTATACTATTTTTATACTATTTGTTTAACAATACAAGGTCCATCAATTTGATCTGCTATTTTAGCTTAGTAGCTATGGCAAATGTACTCTTCACAGTCAGTGAGAATAAATTTTTAATTTATTTTTAGTAACATATAGAAGGCAAATACAGTATAGAAAAATAAAAGAAAAAAGGATGATAGGGAGCTCTTAACAATTATTGCAATAGACTTGAATACATTGGTAATTATTGTTTTTTTCTTAATCCTGAACAAATATATTTAATCAGTTTCATAAGTTATTTAAAAACAGTCATTTAAAATGTATTTAAAACTTGAGGTCAAATTAAAACTAATATAGGCATTATACCTTATAGAAAGGTCCTTTTATTTTAGCTGTCAGTTAATCAACTGTACTAGAATAAATTAAGCATGATATTTGAGTTAAAAGGCATTATATTAAGATTTTAATTTATTTATTATTTAAATTTAATTTATTAGTGCTTGTTCTTTACTTATTTTTAATAGTCCTAAAGTGCATCGCAAAAATCCCTTGAGAGCTTTGGTATTTGACTCCACCTTTGACCAGTATAGGGGTGTGATTGCCAATGTAGCATTATTTGATGGCATGGTTTCCAAAGGAGATAAAATTGTATCTGCGCATACTCAAAAGACATATGAAGTTAACGAAGTAGGAGTTCTGAATCCCAATGAGCAGCCAACTCACAAATTGTAAGTAATCTGCATTAGTAATTAAAAGACACTTGTATGTGTTTCTGTCACAGCCTTTCTTAACTTGGTGTGCTTAGAATGATCCCAATTTGGTAACTTAGAAAAAAAACAAAACCTGATTATTGAATGCAACTACATAGTGAATCCTCTTTGAAAAAGAATCTCATGTGTGAGGGACAGTAGGGATGTGATGTATTTTTTTATTCCTTTTGACTAGCCACAACTAATTTTACATTCTGGTTGCAGACCGGGTCCAACATTGATGTACTTGATGAGACAGTGAAAGAGATAGTTCTCTCATCCATATCCATATCCATACTGGGTATCAATTTTTGACATTTAATTTTTTTGTAATTAGATTTTCAACATAAAATAGTGAAGAAAATTCGATAATTGTTTTCTTTAGTGTGGAATTCATGGTAAAACTTTGATTAACAAGAATTTATGGCGTGTGAGGTTAGCAAGGTAGTGTACATTGTAAAACTGAGTTCTGAGTTCACTTATAAAACAAATATTTATTGAGTGCCTATTCCATCAGTACCCCAGATACTAAGATAGATTACCTTGGGCACATAGTTTTCTAAGGTGTTTGTTTCATCATTTGTCAAATTCAAGATATGAACCAGGTGACTGTATCAGTCACAATTGATAGTTTAACGTTGTATGTCTAAAACTGCACTATTTTGTCATTTTTTAGGTAATTGAAAGTCATAAAGTCTGTTGTAATTTTCTCAAATATTTCTAAAATCTGTCTATATTCTTAAGTATAGTTGATTTACAGTATTATATTAGTTTCAGGCGTACAGCATTGTGGTTCAGTATTTTTATAGATTATACATTAAGAGTTATTGCAAGATAATGGCTGTAATTCCCTGTGCTATGCAAAGTCTGTCTATATTGTGTTGCATGTATATTGACAATTACTGCATCTTTAGTAAAGATTTTTGTATCTCATCCTAAATGGAAATTATCATTTAGGAAGTTTGCTTTAAAAAAAAAAAAAAAGCTACAACTCTGAAATCTTGGATTTGCTCTTTTCCTGCAAGAGGCACATCAAACAGATAATCAGATTTGTTGAGAATTCACATTTTTTTGCTTGGTTAAAATTGTTCTTTTCTTTTTTAAAGGACATTTGTAATATAATTCACTAATAAAACAAATATTACAAGGAGCGTTTTATGTTTCTGCATTTATCAGTTTCACTGTTGTTTAATATGCAGAGGTGGGCAGAGTCATTAAGAAGGTCCCTAGGCTTATTGTATTGCAGAGGTCCTTGGTAATGGATTGTAAGTCATGGGATGTTCTTTTGCTGACGATTCTTAGAGTTGAGAACTGATATGTAGCACTTAGTTTCAGTTTGATGAGGTTTTGTTTGGAAAGTGTGATCATTTCCTAGAAGAGTAGAGCTGATTGTGAGTGTGCACATGAAACATGAAAACAGTAAATATTTCCATATAATAATTTTATTTAGATATGCAGGACAGGTGGGCTATCTGATTGCTGGGATGAAAGATGTCACTGAAGCACAAATAGGAGATACATTATATTTACATAAACAACCAGTGGAACCCTTGCCTGGGTTTAAATCAGCGAAGCCAATGGTATTTGCAGGTGAGGAGCGCACATATTCAAAGGATAAGGGCCAGTTTACTCTAAATTGAAATAAAAATTATTAGAAATACTCATTTTAAAGAGCAGCTAATTCCTGTTAAAATAACAGTTACTCTGTTTTTCTTAATTTTTTTTTTTTGTGGGTGTGCTATTTACATAGCAGTTAATTGCATATGTATGGTGAAACTTTATGTGGGAGATAATTTCCTAAATTTCTTTTAGGACTTCTTAAAACTTAACCTTTTAAACAAGCCCTCTGATATATTGGAAGAGCACAGTAATATGAACTTCCTTCTTGTTTCACTAGAGAGTAGGTCATTGTGTTTGAAATACTTTCCTAATTAGGATGCTTTTATTACTAATTATCAGTGGACATTTATTGAGTGCCTTCCCCTTAGCTGGCGTTTCTTTAATACTGTATTATACTAGTGTAGACATGGCAGAGAAGAGTGTCACCTCATGTATGCATAACTTCAGAACCTCTTATTTCTGCATTATATTACATACATTTGAAAAAGGAAGACCTGATTGAAGGTCATCTGGTTACTCTGTACTGGGTATCCAGTCCTTGTTTTCTCCCTTTTGTATTTCTCATTGGGAATTATAAATGTTGTTTAACTCTCCCTGCCCCTGTTAAGACAAAGTCAGTCATCTGGATTTTGAAGAACTTAAGAGGTGAGGACTTGGGTTTGAGGTGAAAGAGAATCTGATGAATCAGTAGTTCTTGTTTTCATTTCTACCTCTGCTTTTTATCTGCTAATGGAATTTCATTTGTGGTTGTGGATGTCTTGCACTTTTGTTTCTTAAAATAAACACAATGTATTTTCCTGATAGGCTTAATTCCCATGGTTATTTTTTGTTTTCTCTGTATTTTTTGCAAAAGCAAAAACATCACTTTGAGTGTGAATCTAGTGGTAAATTCAAAGTTTATGAAACTCGCAAAATACTTTGAAGCCGATTTAACTTAATATTTATAGTTTTCTTAGCAAACCAGTATTTTGGTCAGTGAAATACAGAAAGTAATTTAAAAGCTAAGTGATTAATTTTGAACTTGGCAGCTGTGCATATTAGCTTTTCTAGGCAGCATTTCACATGTGATAATTAGAAATCATTGTGTCCCCAGGAATGTACCCTATAGACCAATCTGAATATAATAACCTGAAGAGTGCTATAGAAAAACTGACTCTAAATGATTCCAGTGTGACAGTTCATCGGGATAGTAGCCTTGCCCTAGGTGCTGGCTGGAGGTAAGATTCAGTTATGTTGTAGTGTTCCATTTTTATTGAAGAGTAAAGTTTAAATGGTTTATTGCTCTTTAACATTTCTGAAGATAAGTTCTTATTAGTGTAAAATGAACTAAACAATGTCTGCCTATTTCTCACTGTGGATTCATATTCTGTGGGTAAGTTTTAAAGCTATTTTACCAATAGAAGATTTTATCTTATTTAATGAATTTATGTTAGCATTTAATTATGATGTGATAGATTGAATGACTCTTTTGATTCCACTCCTCCCCCACAAAGTAGCAGTATGTTCATCAAAGAAAATACAGCCCGTGGGACATAAACATTTTGGAGTTTGGCTTTTTCTCCCCCAGGTTAGGATTTCTTGGACTTTTGCATATGGAAGTTTTCAACCAGCGACTTGAGCAAGAATATAATGCTTCTGTTATTTTGACAACACCTACTGTTCCATATAAAGCTGTTCTATCATCAGCAAAATTGATAAAGGTACTGTTGTGAGTCAGCATACAAAGGAAAACTCAATAAATGTATGTGTGTGTGTATGTGTGTGCAGAATACAAGAGAAATATTTTAGTACACCAGTAGCTGAATAGCTATTAAAACTAAATATTTCTTGATTAGTAGTAATAAAAGTTGAATTACCTTATGATGGAGAAGTTACTTGAGAGCTAATTTATGCAGTAGTTTTCTTAACCTGATAAAACCTCCACATTATCAATACTAGTCTGTTACTAAGGGTAAAAAGTAGAGTTAGTTCTGAAAATACTGTTCTAAATTCAGCACAAAGATGAAGAGTATAATTTCGGTCATAAGTAATTCATCTTATGAAAAGTAAAGCATTCTGTCCTACGTGGTTGTAGGAAATTTTAGATTTCAAGTTAACAGTAGAGACAATATTGTATTCAGTCTAAGTGGCAATCTGTTCATTTTAAACAGATGTTAACTTTGGCATCTGTAAATATTTTCCAACAAAATTAACTTGGGAAACTACTTACAGTGCCTTATAAGGGGCAGATTAAAATGTATTCTTCCATCATATTTTTCTAAGTGGTGTACACAATGTGTTTTAGTAAATGTCAATAACAAGAATGTATTAATGATGGTTATTAATGTTAAAGATTACAGTTGGAGAGTTTTTAATCTAAAGTGTGTTAAGATAATATTCTAACCTTTAGGAATTCTTTTGTGTTTATTCCAACACATTCAGTAACAGTAAATTCTAATATATATTATAAATAACAAATTTTAAAACATTGTAATTATTAAGATTTCTTTTTAACTATTGGTGATTTTTCTTAGGAATACAGAGAAAAGGAAATTACAATCATCAATCCTGCACAATTCCCTGATGAGTCAAAAGTAACAGAATATTTGGAGCCGATTGTTTTGGGCACCATTATCACACCAGATGAATATACTGGAAAAATAATGATGCTTTGCCAGGTATAAATGTAATACTGTTTGATACAAAAGTAAACTTTAGTCTTCTCAAACAGTGGTACCCAGCTTAGGTTTTGAACTGTTTCTCTCCGCAGTGCACATTGAATTTAACAAAAGAAATTTTCATAAAGATCTATATCTTTATATATTTTACCTATTTATACATGTAGATATACATATATATAATTACAGTATTTTGATTTTTAAATAAGAAAATAGAGCCAGAATTTTTGATCATCTATGTTAGTTTATTGAATTGATATTTTAGCCTAAAGGAAAGGAATTTGATGCCCTTTTAACTTGAGTAGATAAAAGTATAATTTCCTTTCGCCTTTTTGAGTATTTGAAATTGAGTATCATTTGAAAGATAATTATAATACTTTAGAGACCTTTGTTTGAAAGGTATTCCTCAGTTTGCTTTAGTTCTTGCCACATTGTAATAAATGATTTAATCCACAAGTTTGATATAATCATAGTCCTTAAAAAGTACGTATTTGAAATATTCTGACATATATTGAAAAGGACTCTCAAATGACTAGTGGACTTGAATTTTAATTGTCTTGTCACAAAAAAATTTAACTTTAGTCGCTTAATTTCTCTGGGCCTAAATTTCTTTTATTTGTAAAATAAGAAATTAGAACTTTGACTTTATCTGTAGCTAATTTCATTTATTGTTAAATGAAATACTGTATAATTAAAAAAGACAAAGTAGTTTGATAAAGACAAAGGATTAAAAGCTTTGGTAGCAAATATATTGTAATTGAGATACAAAATGGTTCTTCCTGTATTATAAATATTGGTCAGATGTTTTTACTAGATCATTAAAAAAATATTCCTTCATTTTGCCCATTCTTTAAAGTTGATAATTGACATCTTTCTATATTCATTAAATAAACCATTATTTGAAAAGGTTATCATTCAATACATTTTTTATTCCCTTTTCAGGCTCGAAGAGCAGTTCAGAAGAATATGATGTATATTGATCAAAATAGAATAATGCTTAAATATCTCTTCCCTTTGAATGAAATTGTGGTGGATTTTTATGATTCTTTGAAATCTCTGTCTTCTGGATATGCTAGGTAAAAATTTAATGGGAAACTGATACTTAGACAATTTTTTATGAAATATTGACCAGCAAGTGTTTACTAATACTCTACTTAATTAATCTCAGTGATCTTGAAGATGGTTGAGCATCACACTGTAAGGTTAGAAAAGCTTGGAGCAACCTTATAGGTGTTACAGAGTACTTGTAATTTGCTTAATGGAAGAATGAATTTCTTTGATTCATCAAACTATTACTCCTCTCTTTTTTTTTTGCGGTACGCGGGCCTCTCCCGTTGCAGAGCACAGGCTCTGGACGCGCAGGCCCAGCGGCCATGGCTCACGGGCCCAGCCGCTCCGCGGCATGTGGGATCCTCCCGGACCGGGGCACGAACCCGTGTCCCCTGCATCAGCAGGCGGACTCTCAACCACTGCGCCACCAGGGAAGCCCCTATTACTCCTCTGTTAATGGCAAAAATTTTAGTGCCCTCTTCATGGGAGAAGTTGTACTCCTGTATTTCGATTAAAAATTATAATAATTTGAAAAAGCTACTATGACCTCAGTGACACTTTTAAAATGTATTTGTATGTTATGTAATCCTAGGAGCATCTGTGTACATTTGGAAAATAGAAGTACGTATTTAGTCTGTAAAAAATGCTAGGTGTGCCCCTGTATTTGTGAACACTTCAGTAACTTGGTCTTCTCAGGAATAAGTGGTCTTGCATCATGAAAACCATTATCTTATCCCATAAAAGTACATGGAGGAACAGCCTGGTAAAACTGAAGAAAGAATATAATATAGCATTGTGGGAGTATTTTTTGTTAAGGCAAATAACTCTAGGTGCCCTTAGTGTCCTAAAATCCTACATTACTGGATAGCATATACTGGGATATAAAGGAAATGTAAAATATAATGGGGAAGTTGATGGAAAAGTGAATGTTCATATCTGTAAAACATGTATGAATGTGCATTCGTACTTAAAATTAACATTCAAAGAAAGATCCCAGCGTTTTGAAGAACATGCTACAGTGACCTGGAAGTTTACTTTGTGAAATGAGCTTTTCAGTGAAGAGTCAGCATAACTCTTCAAAGGAGATTCTCAAAGGAATCTTCTTTGTTTATTTGTATTGAGAATTTATTTTTTCTAATACGTAACCGAATTTTTTTTCCTATGTCTTCTTTCAGACAAGAGCTTGAGCAAATAAGTAGCAATGTAATTTAAAATAAACTGAATTGAGACAGCAAGTTGTTAAACAATTACTATAATTAAAAGAATGATTACTAGGTGTTTATAACACTTTTAACAAAAGTCTGTGAATTCTAGTTTGCATTTGGGTACCACTTTCTGAGTTAAGTGGTCTTAAAAATCTTTTAGCTTGGAAAATTAAATATATTTCACATTAAGAGAGAGAACATGGTTTATTTTGAACTATGCAAAAATAATTCCAGCTTCCAAAATTAAGGTAATTCTTATGTTCAAAAATGCATGTGGATAATTTTTCACAGTCTAAAAAATTGAAATTCTAAGATTTTGGAGCATAGAAAATTATAAAGCTGTAAACAAGGTGGAAAGTGTAGGGACTAAGTCTATGTCTTATCTCTTATTCTGCATAGTACTTAACATGGTACCTTTATATAGTATATGATTAATGATGTTTGTTGAAAAAAGAAAGGATTTTGGCAACACTTTATACAGTAATCAGGTTTTAGAGAGTATTAGTGTCACTTAGTGACCTTCCTACTGAAAACCTTTTGAAGCCAAACTTTTGCAACTCTAGGCACCGGTTTGTTTTAAAATTAAGGCAGGGACTTCCCTGGTGGCGCAGTGGTTGAGAGTCCGCCTGCCGATGCAGGGGACACGGGTTCGTAACCCGGTCGGGGAAGATCCCACATGCCGCAGAGAAGCTAGGCCCGTGAGCCATGGCCACTGAGCCCGCGCGTCCGGAACCTGTGCTCCGCACCGGGAGAGGCCACAACAGTGAGAGGCCTGCGTACCGCAAAAAAAATAAAATAAATAAAATAAAGGCAGGAGGAATACACATGTTCTCGTCCATAATTGCAAAGACATGAAAGCATAATTGAAATTTTCTGTCATAAGACATCAGTTTTTTAAGTTAAACCTGTTTTGATTAGCACTTTAAGCTTTGACCATATCGTTAATAGAAATAGTTGACACTTACTAAATGCATATTGTGCTCAGCTAGGCTCTGTTCTTAACACTTTTTATGTACTAGGCTGTTCAAGTGCTTTACATGTATTAACTCATTTCATTCTCAAAAAAGCCCTGTGAAGTTTCACACTGAAGAGCCATATATGAAGTCCAGAAGTCTCATTTATTAATGGCTGCTTAGCACTGTCGTAGCATTTATTTAACTGGTAATAGAAAACTAAAAAGAAACCCAACTCATGAGTCTGAGAATGACTCACTAGAATATACTGTTGTCTACAGCCAGCCAGCTGCTAGGAGGGAACATTGGGTAGGTGACATTTTCTTTCAGTGATCCATTTTCCTAGCCTGGCTTCACAGTTTTTTCCCCTTCCTTTAGTAGAGCATGTTCCCCTTGATTTTTGTACCTAATTTCATAAATGTAAAAAGATTAGGACGTTTGTTCCTTACCGTGGTCATGTAGATCCATTCATCTGAAATTTATATGTAACATTTTGTTTGAAAGTTATATCTTTTGGGAAGGATATGGCAGGAGGGAGAAAAAAGATATTTTGAAAAGAAAAAAAATGTAATCTCTTGGGAAATAATAATGTTTATCTATCACTTGGACATTTTTCCTTGTTAGTTTTGACTACGAAGATGCAGGCTACCAGACTGCAGAACTTGTAAAAATGGATATTCTACTGAATGGAAATATTGTAGAAGAGCTAGTAACTGTTGTACACAAGTAAGTTGAATAGAAACTAATCACAGAATGTGAAAGTACCCACTTTTTGACATGTTTTCATTTAAGTATTGGTTGCTCATTTTTATTTGACAGCTACATTTTGAAAACTTAATTAAAGGTAATTATATTTCCATGTACTAGTTTTTCCTTCCATTCTTTTTCCATGCTTCTCTTTCCAAACTGTTAAAAGGAGAACAGAATTACAATAGCCAAAAATAGTAGTGTCATGGAAAGAAATGTTTCCCTTACCACATGAGACAAAATAAATGTTTTTTAAACTATGATAAATTTAGAATTGAGAACAAAAAGTTTTTTATTTTCATTAAAACTTTTATAATAATGAAAAATGAAATCCCCTGTATGTTCAAGAAATAGTTGATTGGTTAAAATAAATTATGGGGCACCCATATAATAAATCTATTAAGCCATTAAAATTATACTGTAGAGTAATACTTGGTGATGTAAAAAATGTCTATTAAGTAAAAAAGGGTAGAATATATCATAAACACTATGATCCAAACTGTAAAAAAACAATTAAATATAAATATGCAGAAAAATAACTACAAGGATGGATATATGTTTAACAAACATTCTAGAATGTTTTACAGTGGTATTCTATGGGTGAGGGAAGCCCATCAAAGATGGTTTTTATTCTCTAATGTGTGTTTTGCTAGATTTTCTGTAATAGATTGTTAGTTTTGCAATCAGAAAGGTCATATATGATTCAGAGATTAAGTGGTGCTTATGTTAAACAAGTTCTATTTGTATCTCCTTAATAGCCTTTACATTGCCTATGCATATTAACTAGAAAGCTACTTTAAATATTCTTATTTAGGATATGTGAATAACTGCATTTTTTCTATCTCAGAGACAAAGCATACTCTGCTGGCAAAGCCATATGTGAACGTCTGAAGGATTCTCTTCCTAGGCAGCTGTTTGAGATAGCAATTCAAGCTGCTCTTGGAAGCAAAATCATTGCAAGAGAAACGTGAGTTGAAATTCATTTTTCAACCAACACTGGTTGGTTTTAGCAGTGATATACATAGAAAATGAAAGAATATTAAAAAATTTAACATTGTCCTAAACTTTATTCCTACTTATAGATACATTAATCTCTTAATTCTACTAAAGTGATGACTGTTACTTTGAATAACTTATACGACACTTTTGGGTGATAATTATTTAGTTATTAATATATATGCTGTGAGGAGTTTTATTTCCATTTATTTTATTCAGTGACCCCTCTGAATTTCATGGTTAGTGAATTTCTATAAAGTTTTTATGGTTTTATCCCTTTAAGTAGATTATAAACTAATAGGAACTGGAATTAAAAAGGTGTGGGAGGTAATTCTTGCAAGAGACAAAACTAAATTATGATTTTTACTTGAAGCATTTAATATCACTTCCTCAGAGCTAGTCAGGTTGTAAATTGTAAAGGTGAGAGAGGAATGCTGGTATCATGTTAGGCTTCAGGGGTTTGCAGTAGTCTTGGGATAAATTGTAAGCCTGTATTTGCAGTGAATTTCATTTCCTAACACCATTTTGCTTTAGTTATTTTGTGTTTCATAAATGCCCAGAGATTAGGCAGAGTGAAATTTATTTATAATAAGGGGACATCCAGGAAAATGCAATTTAAAACAGCAAATAATCATTCAAACATAAATGTGCTGAGGTAGAGAATACCTTAAAGAAGACTTTTATATCTTCTTATGAAATACAAAAAAGTGGAGCTATTTTCAAATTTTGATCCTCCAAATTTCTCAGATACATTATAGAAATAGATTAGTTTATTGCTGCTTAAATGACTATATTAAAATTATTTTGTTTTCCCTGAAATGGGTTTTGTAAAATATATCGTTCTTTATATTCCTAGTCACTCTTGACCCACATTCGGTAGAGTTAGTAATGAGATAATAACCATTTTAGTTTTTTTGGTAGTGGTAGTAGTAGTAGTATTTTTAGGTTGAGCTGGAAATGACCTTTTATAATTGTTGTAATCAAGCTCACACCATGCGTAAATTTGACCTCTTTAAGACTGCCCACAAGCCTTGACCTTTTTTTATTCTTAACAAAGTTTGTGTTGATATTCATGTTGAATTAATTTTCTATTTTATTCCAAATACATGAAAATAAATACAAGAGCATTTAAACTATCTAATTATTTGCTTACGGCAATTTTATATAGGCGTGACCTGATCTTAATATGTTTACTAAAGGGGAGATTGATTTTGAAAATAAGTACTTTTAAATAGTATAAGTTATGTACTTATACAAAACTTTCTCGTTTACAGTGTGAAAGCCTATAGGAAAAATGTTTTGGCAAAATGCGTACGTATCTACATGTGTTCTATTTTGTAATATATTTTATAAGTTTAGAATCAGAGGGGGTATAAATACATTGGTTTCCATTGTTGGTTTTTATAATACCCTTTATCTCATCTCCATGTTTTCTTTTTAAATAGGTAAATTTCAGCTTGACTTTAATAATAGCATACTCATTTTGATCACATTTTCCCATTTTACTTTAAAATTTTTCCTTATGTGCAACTATCTAAGAACATTTTTATAATAGTTATGATCAGGATAATGTTTTAATTTATAAGGACAGATTTTGAAGACAATAACTATGTCTTACTATGGGAGTTGAAACTGAAATTGAAATCCATCTCTCCTGCATTACTTTGCCAAGTTTGCTGTTTCGTCTATTAAAAAAAATATTGTTATTATGAGAATTAAATGATAAATGCTTTTTCTAAATCCTTAGCATAGGGACACATTTAAGCCTATGTGAGTCTCTGTATTAGACTACAGCTAAATCTAAAATTTCAAGCCCTTGAATCAGTAAGGAGATGGATAACTTTTCCTTGACATGCATAATGTTGTACTGGGTTTCCTTGAGGATCTTCATCTTCTTCCAAAAACAAATAAATAAATAAAGCCTTTATTCTTTTGAGAAGACAGTAAAATTAGGATCTGCTTGGGGGTAACTTTGGAAGTTACCCTTAGGAAGACACTTTGCAGGTGTCTACTTCATGGATAATAATTGTAAAGTTTTTGTAATTGTATTGATGTCTCTAGGTAATTGTAGGATTATTTTTCTGTGGAGTGATTTGGACTTGTAGTTTTTAAAAATGTTTTTCAGTATGGTGGTGATATTACCCGAAAAATGAAACTTTTGAAGAGACAAGCAGAAGGAAAGAAAAAACTAAGGAAAGTTGGCAATGTTGAAGTTCCAAAAGATGCTTTTATAAAAGTTCTGAAAACACAATCTGATAAATAATTGATGGGAAAATATAAGGAATTTTCATAAATTAAAAATTGTGTATCTTTTATTTTTTCTTTGTAATTTATAGTATGTTGAACACAACAGAATGAAAATTATAAAATTTGCTTGTTACTTTCCAGGTTTTCAGTTTTAAATAACCTCTTGGCTTTTCTTTGAAAGAGAGTCATGGGTGGATAAGAGCATAGATTCTGAAGCCATATTTCCCGGTTTCAAATTTCTGTTCCACCACTCACTAGGCAAAGTGACGTTGGCCAAATTACCCTCTCTTTGTCTGTTTACTCTTTAGTAAAATCAGGATTATACTATTACTTACCTCCACAGGCTGTGAAGATTAAATATGTTTAAAATATTCAGAAGACTGCATGACACCTAGTCAGTGCTCAGTGAATCTTAATTTTTCAAGCATATTCCTTACTCACACTAAAAGGCCCCGTACTTAAGATTCTATCTAGTTTCAAGCCCAAGATACAATATTTTCATAATCACCTTAAGTATCAACTTGTTAGGTGGATATATTTAGATATATATGAATCTGTTATTAAATATTCAAATAACAGCATCTAGACATGTGCTGTAGTTTTTCATAAAATTTTTACAAATGTTTCTTTGAAACTAGACAGTTTACATATGCATATAAATTAAAATGATAGGGGCTGTCTTATTCTGAGAATTAAAATGCATTTGTGCAAAGTGATAGATGTTTGATATTAGCAGTAGCTGTTATTAATGACAGTTTAATAATGATTGCCTAGATTTCATAATTGAGGAGACTGAGTAAATAACTTAATTAAGGTCACATAGCCAGTAAACGGTTATCTTACTTTCAAAGCATGTCTACTCAAGTCAATAAACAAACCAGAGGGCAGACTGTATTACAGTAAGATAAAATAATTTAGCCATTGATTTTTGTTCTTTACTTTGAATGAACTGAATGAAGTTAATGTCTTCTAGGGATAAGACTATCAGTGATAAATTTTATACAAGGTTGTTATGAGATAATTATAAATTCAGATAGTGGGGATTTACCTAAAATTGTGTATGGAGGTTAAATAACCCGTGGCTTAGTCCTAGTTACATAAATTAATCAACTGTCTTCCCTGTTTCTTCTAGCTCTGGTAGAACAGATGAATTATGAGATCTCATGACCAAAGTATCAAAATTTTAGAAAATGGCAGTATTTTTGAAACTAGAAAAGCATTTTAATGTAATTTCTAAGACAAGACGTTCTACCATTATTGCCAGGGGAAAGTTACAAGTTGGTACCTGGCACATAGTATGTACGGTGTGTCTACTATTTAGTATTTGTGTCTTATTAGTATGCTTACAGTTTGGATACATTTTTTTCCCCTTTAATCTCTGACGTTTTTGGGAAAGTTTACTTGTAATAGTAGTACAAAAAGTATTTTCCAGATTTTTTAGCATACTCTTAAGTTCTCTCTCCTGGCCACTCTCCTAAACATGATTGAGAGTTGTGTATCCCCCAGAGGGCCTTACTAAGATTTTTGTGTACGTTAAAATAACATAAACTATTAGTATTAGAATAGCCACCATTTATTGAGTTCAATATGTGACAGCCACTGTGCTGAGCTCTACAGACAATTCCCTCATTCAAACTACATGGCAGTGGAGGTACAGGCACCATTACCATCCCATTTCACAGGGGAAGAAGCTCACACTTATGTACCAGTATTGTCCAACATCACGGCTCTTGACAGCTGGGATTCAAACAGTGGTTTCTTTCTCCAAACCCCAATTCTTAGCTACCATGCTTTATTGCCTCTTGTGGAAATACCTTCAATAGACTTAGTTTTTTGCTTAACTGCAGCTTAGCTCCTGAGTTAGGGAGTTAAAGTAGCAGGAAAGCAGTTTGCTGTGGACCTTGAGTATATGGACTTCAAACTTACAGGGCAGTGATGGAAAGGAGATTTGACTCTGTTTCAGCTAGCACATTTAAAGCACAGAAATAACAGCTGAACCATGCACCAGTCTTTAGCTTTTTCACTAAACTATATGACCTTCTAAGGTAGTTTGCACTAACCAACACTTTATTACCAGGTGTGGGACTGGGAGATAATACTGATTTCACTTACTGTTCAAAAACCATTTGTAATACTTAAGGCTATTAGAAGTTCATTATCTAGAATTAAAGCAGCATATTTTATCTTAACAGTCCTATTTATTTTTAAATTTTCTATTTAAATGTTTTAAGGAACTTAACTGTAAATACATTTCAATCACATAGGCAATTAGCAGGTATGTAAGTGATGCTTCTACTAGGTGGACTTACAAAAAGCAAAATATGCAGAGAAAAGGAAGCATGTTTTACTCCCCAAGGAGCAGAACTAAGAATTATAGGCAGAGACATTGTCTTTTAATTTAAATCTAACTGCATAATGACAACAAATAAAAAGTAAACGCAAGCTCACAGCTACTGTTAATTGTTAGAATCTTTCAGATGTATGTGTTCAATTTCACTGTTGGAAATAAAATTTAGATAACTTACATTTGTTTATTATAAGCTTTATTTGAGTTAAAGATAGAAAACAATATACTTTTATTTGCAAGTTAATAATGCAAGTTGTTATGGCAATCTAAAATAGTTTACAGTAACTTTATATTATACTTCATCATATCCTTTTAGACATTATATATATGTAAGGAATAAAGCTAACCATTTATGAAGTTTAACTATAATCAGAAAATTTTCTTCAAAAAAAAATAATTTCCTTAAGTGTGCTGCTAGGTATAAAGCTCCTAATTGCTAAAATACTTAAATTAAGTGCATGAACCCAAGTCGTTAACTAAAAATAAGAGCATATCTGTTTAAAAAAGTGCTACAGAAGGTGGTGCACAAAAAACATGCACTTATACATACTTTCCAAAAGGACGTAAACTGTACTTTTAGGCACTGCAGTCTCTTCAAATTTTCTGTACCAACAATATATAGCAGGACTTGTGATGTCCAGATGCTACTGCAGGAAGATGACTAAGGCAACCACGTGCAGAAAGCTTGTGCAGAGAGAATATTATAAAGATAGCATTCCGGAAGTAAAGGCTTGCAATGATAGTAGTTTGATACCTGAAAGGCTTGGAGTGTCTTCCTGTGATTAAAAAATTAAAATCTAATAATGCCACTGGAGTCATATACTTGGTACTTTATGTATAGAATTGTCACCTTTAAAATGACTTAAAATTTGTAAACAGGCAGACATTTCATTTCTGTGCTATGTTATAGAGTGACTGTGGCTTCTGTAACAACTAGCTGATCAATTGTGAGAGCCAATTACGTCTAAACCCTAGTATAAAATGGACACATTGTAAATATGGAATGTTTAACATAGATATTAGACTTCAAAAATGACAGTATTCAAAAATTCCCCAAGTTTTATCATATTGCATAGCTGAAAATTCATCTAAGTATAAAAGTGTTCTGTTCGTTCAAGCAGAATTTTGATCCAGTTTCCTTCAATTTGCTTCTTTCATACTGTATAGTGGATCCACAAGTTTATTGTGCACATGCATTAAACCTTAAAGAAAAAAAGCACAGTTCTAGTTGTAGTTCTGATTTTGAACTATATCTCATTTAGAAAACAAAAGATTTCATATTAAAATACAAGTATACTGGCTCCCATCTAGTACAAAGTAGTTAAATTTATTGGAAAAATGCAAATAGAAATGTTTCAGAATGTTTAGTTTTAACTACCTAGCATATATCAATTTAGTTGAAACCATGTATCTGGAATGGGTACAGGTTCTTTGTGAGTAACCAGAAGTAGGGGCAGTTCTTGTCTTTAGAACTTCCTTCAGTATGACAAAATAACAAATTTGAATACTAATTACATCTAAAAGTCTGTTGAGTTTGACCCTCTGCCAGTTAATCTAACAGACTCCAACAAGGGGCTCAGAACTGTTGTTACATTAGTTCTCTAATATATTACCCTACCTATTCATCTGGCAAATTATTTTCCACTATTTTGACATGTGTATTTACAATAGGTGTTAATTACAAGCCACAAAGAGAGGTTTACTGAAACAATAAGATAACCTAAATATCAATTTGCAAGTAAATTTAAATTTCATCTTATAATTGGTATGCTTGTAAACTGTCCTTAATTTTATTAAAGGTTCTTGGGAAATATATTCCAGTTATTCATGTCTTAATGCACATGTATCATATTTGGGGAAATAAACTGTCCCAATTAATGAACTAAAGATTTTATATTGTGCAGGTTAAAGAAATCAGTTAAATTTACCAGGTTGTTAAGAACATGGAGGCTGGGGAAAGGGACTCATAATGTGGTTTTCTTAGGAAATGGGATTACTGGATCGAGGAGACAGGGTACTTGTTAGTAAGAAGGTGTACTTTGTCAGAAGGGCTGCAAAAGCACTCTAAAATCCAAACTGTGAAGACCCACTTTTAAGAGATAAGCAAAGGGACATGCAGAGAACACTTAAGTATACATGTAGTAGGAGAAAAACCAGGAGTGGAACAGTCTTAAAAGGAGAGAGAAATATTCACTCGTGAAATTGAAAGAGAGAATGCTAATTAACTCAACAGCTCACTTCAGTGTCTAATCAGCACCTCAAACTTGTTAAAAACATCCAGACCCATTTTCCCCTTCTAAACCATTTCTTTAAAAATATTGTATATGGTGTTACCCTCTGAGGAGCTGCTAAAGCCAGACAACTGAAATTCACTGTTGATTTTTTTCTCTTTTTAAATTCAGCAGCAAGACTGGTGGGCACTACTTTCAAAATACTGATATATCCCAAATTAGCTACACTTCATCTCCACAGCACTGCCCTTAGTCGAAGCCACTTTCATCTCTAATCTGATTACCAACTAAGCACCCTACTTTCATCACTTCCCATTGTCCAGTTTTTCTAAAAACAAGCTAGATTATACCATTTCCCAACTTAAAATTCTCCAATTGCTCTTGTCACTTAGAATATAATTTAGATTTTATTCTGTTGTCTTCGTTTATCCTTCTGATTTCATGTCCTCCCCACTCTCCCCCTTTTGTGTTACACTCAACCCTGGCTTTGTTGCTATTACCTCAGAAAGGCTAAGCTTGGTTATAGTACAGGGTCCTTATATTTGCTGTCTCATTCAGCCTGGAATGCTCTTCTCCCTGAGCAAAGCATGATAATCTCCTTTTGGCTTTCTGGGTCTCAGCCCAAATGTCACCTTATAATGAATTACTATTTCACTTTCTTTAGAGCAATTTTCACTCTTAGAAAATGTTTTTCCTACCATGTCTCCAACTAGAATCTGAGGTCCAGGACCTTAAATTTACTGCTCTAAGTCCTGGGTCTATAAAGGTCATGATACATGTTGGAAGCTCAAGAAACATTTACTTTAAAAAATCTGTGAAGATTCAGTGAGATGGTCTCTGGAAGCTTTTTTTAAATTTAAAATGAATCTAGAACATATATTGTTTAAAAGGAGGCAGGAGAAAAGGAGGGAGCAGAGACCAAGATTCTGTAGTTGAAGGTTCTGAAGACAGAAAACTATCAAGGGCACTGGCAGAATGGCTAGACATGAAAGGAAAGGATGCTTTACGATTAGGATAAATTTAAAATCTTGGAGGTAGGACTGTGGAGGGACTGAAGTTAAGCCTTCCGTGCAGCTGGAGGGACAGAAGGGTCAATAGGTTAAAATAAGTAATGGGAAGAGTTTGAAGAAAGCAGAACAAGGAGCACAGCTAACCCAGGAAATGAAAGAATTATGTATAAAAAGTACCAAACTAAGCATAAAGGCACTTGATCGGTTCTGCCTCCACCTCAGGTATATGGCAGCCATTTATCCATTTGGCCTTATTTATAAAATGGAGTAACCTCAGCTCAAAAATTTAAAAAAGAAAGCAATGTACTCAACATAGTGCATAAAATCTTATAATGATGTTTGGTATATATGTCTGAGATAATGTAATCTCTGATACTTGAATGTTTCTACAGTGACAGTTCCATAAAGTTATATATAACCCTCCCTTCCATGCTTACCAGTGCAGACAAAAAGCCTGTGATAAAAACCCATGAGTATGTGGACAAACCAACAAATACTTCATTCATTAGACTGTTTTATGCAAACTATCTCCGAGGCTGGATTTGAAGCACACTGATTTATTGGCATTTGTTCTTTGCTCAAAAAATGTTAATACATAAGAATATTTTTCTCAGGGCTAATAACCCCTCCCCCCAATACCCTTTTGAAAGGCCACTGATATGCAAGCCCTCATTTGCCTTTTCACTCTTAATTTTGTTTTTAAAGTATAAGCTAGCCCCATTTTATCGGTATACTTTGTTCTCTATTAAGAGGAACTTTTTCTGCGACTGTGTTAGCTCATCCTTATGCCTGTGCTATTGATTATGGCATTCTCTTCAAATCTAAGTGTTACCATCTTCTACAGCTCTCAGTCCCATCAGCTCCATTCAAGTTTTCATCAACTACTATATAACTATAAAAATCTCTCCCTTAACATCCCTTGGACTTCACAGTGATTTACATAATTTAGCACTTAAACTGAAATGGTATCAATGTCATGTGTCATCCATCTACCTGCCCAACTACCTAGAATTTACCAAGTGTCTCCAGTGTACTAGGTAGGTACCCTTTGAGATGCTCAACTATTGCAATGAACCAAAACTGAAGTCCCTACCGTTATGGAGCTACATTTTATTTTCTCGAATCACTTAGTGAGCCAGTTTTATGAAGAATGCCAACTACTTTCAGGCAGGGATACTTGTACTTCTTTCGGGTATAACAACACATGAGACAATGTACTTGAAGGCACTGTAACCCATGTTTCTTGGCTGATGACATTAACTGGAAAATATAGTTTACATTTACCAAAAATAAACATTAAAGGGTAATTTTTTTATACTGTAAAAGGTATCTGCTAATGAAAAATATTTACCAGATAATTATCTCTAAATAGAACCAATCTTATTTAAAACAATATTTAACTGAAAAGTTTAACAACCAGTATGTATAAAGCAGCAAAATGGAAATTGGAGAGACCCAAGAGAGGGGACAACAAAGACAATGGTAATCTCAGCCATGTGCTTTAGAAGATATACCTCTTCCAGAGTATCAGCTCTTTGAGGATCATTCTACTTGATATAATTCATCTATCATTCACTTAAAGCTTTGATCATGGAAAGAATACATTAGAGGTTAAAAACACACAACTTAAAACATCAGGATAAACATTAAAAATCCAACTCCTTTGTAAAGTTTTTTAAAAACTAAACACTGGCTATAACTTGTACATAACATAAAGCTAGTTCCAAACTAAAAAGAATCTTGGAAATTTTAGTACTTGCTTTCTGAATAAAATAAATCAAGAGTTTACTATGACTAAAGGTAAAAACTGACAACGTTCTATACAAGAATGTGATAAAAATAAATAACTGCTACTTAAATCATAAACAGAAGTAAATTCTAATGAGTATTGATAAAAATGCATAGACTTTCTGATGTTGCTTGAAGAAGAAAAGTTAAATATAATAGATTTTATAGTTTGGTTCAATCTGAATTCATTCAGCCTCTATCAAGCTATTGGAGCTATTGGAGTAGGGCCTAAAAAGGATAAAACAAAAAGAATTTTCACCATGATGATGATGTCTTGAAAATATATTATCTCAGGACATAAAACATAGGTTTTATTTTTTTAAAAACAAAAAACTAGAATAAAACAAATTATTAAAATGTTTTCCTGTGATTTACTTATATCTTTCAAAAGATATATACTGAAATAAACTTCCATATGCTAATGATTTTTATTGTTTTAGATGTAGTTAACCTAGACTTCAAGAGCTAAATAATTAGAACCCTTTAAGATTCCTGTTGACACTTTTAAAGGGATGGCAGAAGAAAGAGTAGTGATGTGAATGGTGTTCGAAGAATTACAGATTATAACTAAGGGATTCATTTCCTCCAGTATATCTTGCAGTGATACAATAATAAGGATATGACAAATACATAAAACTACATTTATAACATGTATAAATTTAAGAAGCCATTCTACCTAATATCAAAATATCTTACTGTAAGATGAGGTCTATATATATAGCCCAGAACAATATTGCAAATCCATTCTTCTCCATATTGAAGGAGGCATCCTGACAGAGGCTGATGTCCTGAATCTCTTCAGAAATATATACAGCTCCAATGGAAAATAATTTCTAAGTGACTTTAACATCCCTACTAAGCCTGTTAATTCACCTATAGATGGGATTATAAGAGTACCCATGTCATAGAATTATGAGATTTAAGTAAATCAGTAAGTATAATATGCTTAGAATAGCACCTGGTCATATAACTATTGGCTATTATTAAATGTTTACTTCACTAAAATGTAAAAATTTTCTGATAAAAACCAAACTGACAAAAATCAGACAAGTAAAGGAGTTTATCTGGGGATTACTGGTGCTAGAAAGTGGCAATGTTAAATGAATCTCCTCAAAACTGTTATTAAAATATGTGGATAGGGCTTCCCTGGTGGCGCAGTGGTTGAGAGTCTGCCTGCCGATGCAGGGGACACGGGTTCGTGCCCCGGTCTGGGAAGATCCCACATGCCGCGGAGCAGCTAGGCCCGTGAGCCGTGGCCACTGGGCCTGCGTGCCCGGAGCCTGTGCTCCGCAACGGGAGAGGCCACAACAGTGAGAGGCTCACGTACCCCACGCCCCCCACACACACATCTGGATAATGAAAATTCCTTCTATTAACTTTTTCAAGGAATATAATGTTTGTGATGAAACCTGGACTACATGGAAATAGATGGGTAAAACGCCATCTAAGAGCTCTGTCTTATTCACAACCCATAACTGAGCTATTCTCTGCTTTTATCTGTCAAATTACTAACAAGCTAACAACTTTCAGTTTAATTTGGTATATTTGTGACTTGGTAAAAAACTGGTAATTTAACTGATAAAAATATAAATGACTGGAAGTAATCTAAGTGCTTAACACTAAGGAAACCTTTAACACCTTTTATTAAAGAGATTTAAAACGTATTTTCATTCATATAGTATCAGTAGTACACTTATTACATACTTTGTGAATTACTGAACTATATATATGACTAATTACATAATATTTTCATATCAGCTATATAAATACAGGTGCTTTGTAAAGAGTACCTATTTATACAGCTTGTTTATGTGTGTGTATTTATATGTGGAGTTGACTCAAGCAGGGAATGGCTTCTAAACTGAGTGTATTCAAAACTGTCCCTGAAAATCTCTTAAACACCTATCACAGCAAGTGTATATGGTTTTATATATATATATATATATAGATATACACACGTGTGTGTGTGTGTGTGTGTGTGTGTGTATGGTATGGTAAAGTTTAAAAATTACTGAACTAGACTGTAGGAAGAAGCAAAAGGAAGATAAATATGCAGAAGTCTGGGCAAACTCCTGCTTACTTGCAGAGTTTATTCCATACTGTTTGACATTTAGCAAAATTTATTGTGAAGATTAAATGAGATAGTGGGCAACCCATCTTATCCCCTGATTTCATTCTAAACATAGCTGAGAGGTTAGGGTGGGACAGGTAAACAACGAAAAAATTAGAAAGGACATATATACATTTCCTTTGGGGCTATTTAATATTGTATATTCAATATGAAAGTAAAATATTTAATTTTGGATTTCAAGAAACATCTTGTTTACTGAAAATATTGACTGAAGAGGTTTTCTTCAAGAAAAAACATTAGGAAATTACTTTGAAAGCTAGTATTATCTGAAGTGAGACATTTCTAATCCTCAGAACAGTGCCAGTTTTCAATAGGCCACAATGCAGAATGTAACTCCCCAGTCATACTAAGTTTTAATTGTCATCTACAATGGAATATTCTCCCAGTCTGCTTTTGAAATTTCAGTGCTCACCTTTAAAGTATTTCACAGTTTTTACTCTTAATTCTAAAGTAGCATCTTCATCACATACAAAAATAGTTCGGGGATGTTGCTGGAAAGCTGAAACAGTCCACATGTGATTGACTCCTTCTTCTATTGCTTTGTAGAGAGCAAATGCCTTGTGTGCACCTGTTATGAGGATCATTACCTGAAAAATCGTGAACATTACCTGTCAGTTCTTAAAACATGTTCCAAATGACTAAGAAGCTCTATTTTTTTAAAACAAAGAATTTAGCACCAATATTTTTCTGAGGGTTAAAATAAAAATAAACAGCTCCATATTTCTTCATAGTTCAAGGTATTTATTTCTGCTCTTTAAGGTAACAGGCAGGCACAAAGTGTATCTCTACTACTGGCTGAACAAAGTAAAATAGTGTCTTGTAATGGAGTATTATTGAATATACCATAATGCCTATGATAATTAACACATTAAATACTGATGTGCAAGAAGAGACCTGGGAGAATGAAGAAAAAGAAACAAAAGGGCTGTTTTGCAACAGCAGAGTTACAGATCAACAAAGAATTTATATAACCAGGAATGATATATCAAATTGCTCTAGTCCAGATAAGCAATAGATATTACTTTGGAAAAGCAAAAGACTCTGAAATAAGGTATTTTAAAAGTAATCTAGAGAAATGAGCCTAAAGATTGTTTCACTGAACGGGTGCTATCTAAAGCTCTTTTGGAACAAAACTAGATTTAAAGAAGGGTTCAGAATCTACTTAAATGCAGGAACTGTCCTTTAAACACACATAACTAAGACCATCCTTAGGTACAGAAAATCCAAGGTCTTTGTCCCAGATCCCTGATAGCCTATGAGATAAGTCAAAGAACATGTGCAAATGTGAGTGAGTGTATACAGGTGTCTGAATGAATCTTTTCTTTAACATTTTTAGCAGAAAATCAATCCTGTTTTTACAAGTTAAACAGTTTATGTATTGTAATAAATCTTTAAACATGTTTTTTTCCTCATAATTAAAAAAAATATGAATGTTAAAGTGGTTGTAATTCTAAAATATCTGTAACAACATAAAAATTCTGTATTTCACATTTTATAACCAGACCTTCTAAAACAGGAAATTAAAGATTAATGAACCAGATATTACTGTATTTCTTTTATCAAGATTCATTACTTTTCATTTTGAAGCTACATTTGATTAATGAATGAAATAAGATATGTATGAATTCTTACTGTTTTTATTGATACTTCTTGTTCTTAAGTATAGAGATCTAGGCTCAGTGAAGAATTAATATGCCATCACCTATAATTAAAAGCATTTTTTAAAAATTAGCAATGCTTGATATAATAAGGTAAGCACAGCACTGATTAATGGGTCTATTAGTTTTCCTTACTGGAAATTAATATTTTTTTCTTAAGACTGATACGTGTTACAGAGGAGTTTGAAAAAAAAAAAACCAAAATATTCAAGTTCTTTGCTCCACCCTGTCTTCTAATTCAGAATCTTTGGGATTAGGACCCAAGAATCAGGGTCCCTTAAGTGATTAGTATGCAATCTGGCAGAAGTCCTTATACTAGCACTTGAAAAGGCTTTTTAAAACTATTTTAACACACACTACATTAAATGAGAATATGTAGTGATTGCTGCATGATGGATATTTTCTGAAGTTTATTTCAGGAGTTTTAAAATGTGATTTGGTGGTTTCAAAGTTAAACACTGAACTTAAGCACTTTTCGTGAATTATTCTCTCATTTAACTACCCACATCAACAGCGTGAGATAAATACTATTCTTACTCATATTTTACAGATAAGGAATGAGGCACAGATATTCTGTAACTTGCCCAAGGTCTTGGTAAGGCTACTATATAAACAAGAGGTCTGCTTCCAGCATCCATATCCTTAACAACTACAATAAGACATATATAACCTTTAATTGAGAATTAAGAAGAAATATCTGAAAAATCAGAAATTGAAGAAAATCCCTCTTGGAATATAATTTGACTTTGATAATACATGATTATTTCTACTCTATCTGCTCCACTATTCTCAAGGAGAGTATTTCTTGTATTGTGAAAAAGCTTAAGAGTACCCCTATCTGAAACCAAATCTTAAGGATAAGCAGAAAAGAAAAGGGGGCATTTCAGACAGTTATGGGGTGGTCAATAAAAAGCTAGAAATTTGGTAAGGCTGAGCATAGGGAAATGAAATGGCTGAAAACTGAATTTTGATAATACAGAGCATTTTATGCCAAAGAGGCTAGATATCATCTTGTGATGAAGCAGCAAGGAATCAGAGACTCTTCATTACATGCATGAGTAATAACTATGTTTTTGGAAAAAGAAAATTCAGGCTGTAATAGAGAACAGGAAAGGTAAAGAATGGAGATAGCCATGATTTAGGATGCGTTTGCAATAATCCTTACAAAACTGATATAGACCAGAAGTAAGGCAGCTCCGATGGATTTATCTCTGTTCCAATGGAGGGCTGGATCCTTATTTATCTCTAAGTTAAATGGTGGAATGTGGTGATTGGTTAGATGTGAAGAAGCTGAGAATGACACACGTTTCAAGTTCAGATAATTTTCATGGAGGGTGTTGCTATTCACCAAGGGAGGGAGACAATTTTGGTAGAAAGATGAATTTAAATTTTGAACAGTTTAAGTATAAGGAGTCAATTGGAAATATGAAATCTGTAGCTTCAGAAAAAGAACTGGCTAAAGATATGTACTGGTAGTTATCACTGTATTGAGCATAGTTGACCTTTTTAGAATAGTACTAAATCTACCAAGAACAGGGTTCCAAAGTGTGACTGCTATTGATGTGTTAATTAAAAAAAACCAAAAACACGCACACAAAAAGGTCACTGCCCAGAAGTATGCGTAGTGAATATGCAGTGCTAGGAGATGACCCCCTAGGTAACAACAACATTCAAAAGGCAGATGGAGGAAGAAGAGCCAGGGAAGCATACTGAGAAAGAATGGTCAGAAAGAAAAAAGAATAATGGTAGAGGTTTATGACGGAAGAAATAGTCCATAGGAATAAATGATGAAAAGAAGCCCAGTAGGATAAGACCTGTAGAAAAGATGATGGTCTTAACAATTAAAAACTTATCACTGGTGACTTCTGTGACATTCAGTAAGTCAACAAAATCAAAAGAAGATTTTTAAGCTTACTGGTTTTTCCTTATGTCATCGCAAGAATAAACATTCAAATTATTATAATTATATGTAATAAGCAATTCTAAAGATGCTACAGTAATTAAAAACAATTTGTGTCTTTTCTTTTGAAATTACCTTTAAAATATAAAGTATTATCTTTAAATATATCTCAGTAAAAACAAACTTTAATCCTTTGAGGGTAAATGTGGCTTTCGTCAAACAGCCAGAATTCAATAAAAATCAGATCTGGTGGTTCAGGTAGACAGCCAAGCTGTGGATAGAACCAACTTTGTCCAAAATGAATTATGGGCAAAAGTAATTCATTCAAACTATTCTCAACAGTTACTGAATACCTATTATGTGACAGGCAGTGTACTGTGCTAGATATACATGACTCATAACACTTGGAGATTATAAACTAATGAGGAAGGGTATTAAACAACGAAACATACAGAAACAATTATAAACTGCAAAAAGTACTATAAACAAAAACTGTGGTAAAAGAAAAGAAAATAATTTTGATTATAAGAATTACAGTCAGAAAATGGAACTCTGAAAGCTGAAAACAGGTGCCATTTTAGCTAAGCAAGGGCTAGAGAAGTAGAATATTTCACAATTAATTAACATCAATGTAAGGCCTCAAAGCAAGGAAGGAGTGAAAATTGAGGGCAGGGACTTGTGTGGTTCATTACCTAGTGGACAATTCCCAAGTCTTAAGAAACCTGTAATAACTTCTGGGTTGTCACTTCCAGGGTCTGTACAGAAGGTCCTCATTATCTGAGTTGCCAAAGTATGAAAATTCTTATTGATGCACTGACCACTTAAAAGATTTGTCTCCCATTCAAACCTACTTTCCACTCAACAGTGACATCTGTCCCACACATGGATTTAAATTTTAAATATATTTGCAGTTATTGAAAATGACACTGAAGAACAGCTCACATCACAGTTAAAACCACTGGCAGATGAAAATGTGTACACATGAAGCCCATTAAAATTGAAGATAAAAGAAAGTCATTAAGTATAATCATGTGATACTTGTTTCAAAAGAATGCTATGAAAAATCTAGCAAGACAATACCCAAGACAACGGAAACAACCCAAGTGTCCATCAACAGAAGATTGGTTTAAGATGTGGTGCACACACACACAATGGAATATTACTCAGCCATAACAAAGATTTGACATACTGCCATTTGCAGCAACATGGATGGACCTAAAGAATATCATACTAAGTGAAGTAAGTCATACAGAAAAAAACAATACTATATGCTATCACTTATATGTGGAGTCTAAAAAACAATACAAGTTAATCTATATAAAACAAAAAAACTCACAGACACAGAAACTAATGGCTACCAACAGGAAAGGGGTAAGTTAGGAGTATGGGACTAAAAGATACAAATTACTATATGTAAAACAGATAAGTAACAAGGATTTACTATATAGCACAGGGAACTATTCAATATCTTGTAATAACCTATAATGAAAAATAATCTGAAAAAAATATATATAACTGAATCACTCTGCTGCACACTGGAAACTAACACAGTATTGTAAATCAACTATAATAAAGCACTAAAGTCCTTGGGAAAACTACTAGATAATAAAAGTTTTGCCATAATTTTCTTTACAGTCATGCTGGGAATGAATACTGTGAGGTGAATAGCATCATATAATTTTGTTGGAAAAGTCAAAAGAAAAATCAATGTTTGAATAATTCTGTTAATTCTAAGAATTAGCATAAGAGTTGCACTGTAACCTTAATTTTCTTATATGTAAGAAATCGTTTTGCATAACTTTCAGTTTCATATTTTAGAACTAAGGTTGCTCTAATTTTTTTTCAATTTATCTACTATGAAATTTCAGTCTTTAGAAGGTCTTTTTTCATAAACCAATTATCGTTAGATGTAAAACTCCATTTTGAATGACAGTTCTATTTGTGCATTCAAGTCTAGATATATTTACATTAAGATCAGTTACTCATTCACCATACCTTGTCTGTACTCTTTCCTCTGGACCTGTCCAATCCTGCTGCCAGAAAGGAATGGAGTTTTGGGTTTCCATATAATTTAACCACTTATAATCATGAGCTGACTATAATTTGGTCTGTTATTCTCAGGGCAGGAAATGACAGCCCAATTAAAAACTAAAAAATTTGAGTCTACTGTTCAGAACTCTTGCCGCCTTAAACATACTGAATTTAGAACAGATCCAGCCCTAAAGGGGTTCTTTTCCCACTGGAAACCAACTGAGCTATCCTCCTACAGTCAAGAATCACATTACACTAAATTATCCTAAGCCTCCAAAAGCAGTTTAATGTTAATTATGACTGCATCTTTGTTGCAACAGTCCTTTCACAAGACTATATGATCAGTGTGATTTTAGGACCTCAAACTGTGAAACAAGAAGAGGCAAGTAAAGCAGTACCCCAAAAGAGATGGTGCCTAATTTTTAGTTTCCAGCTCCAAAGACTTAATTTACTTGAATTCTAAACATGGCAATGAGCCTGAAAGAAATTACTGAAAGCTAGACAACAATTTATACTGCAAATAGGATTGACCCAAAATAGCACTTATTTGACACCACAATTTCTCCAAAGTCTATAGACATTAAAGGAAAAACATAAAAGAACATTTAATTCTTACTTCTCTAGCATCCATCACTGTCCCCACACCAACTGTTAGAGCCATAGTTGGCACTTTTGATAAATCTCCATCAAAATATTTAGCATTTGCCAAAATGGTGTCCATTGCTAGAGTCTTTACTCTTGTCCTTGATACTAAACTGGATCCTGGCTCATTGAAAGCAATATGACCATCTGGACCAATTCCTTTCAAAAGAAATACATATACACACACATATATACATAAGTAAATAAGGTTTCTCAAAGTTCAACATGATTTAAAGACCAAAGAAATAGTCATAAACACGCTTACCTTGTTTTATTTGATAGCTGAATTTCTAACGCTGCAGTAAAAGATTTGTTCCTGTATTTGATTCAACAAGTATTTCAATGTTTTCCATATGCTTAGCATTGAGCTAGCATGATTCTAACAGCAAAATTATCACTTTATAATACTACTTTATAAAGCAATTTCACATGCATCCTCTCAACAACACATATATTTAACAATCTTGTGATATAGTCAGATTAACCATATCTATTTACCTCATCTCCCCTTTTTTTTAAGCTCAAAAGGCAACTTTGATGCTCAAGGATAATATATGATTTGTTCAAGGTAAATAATTTAGTAAATACTAAGACAAAACTCAAATCTAAATCTTCTGATTCCTAACCCAGTGGTCTTTATATTCACACTTTAACTTGCTTGGTTCTAGTCTAGATGGGGCAGTTAACTACTGGACCTCCCTGTAGTATAGTTTCCTCACTTATAAAAATGTTTAGATTGGACAAGATATTATCTAAGGCAGTAGTTTTCTTCAAACTTTTTTGACTGCAACCTACTGCAAGAAATACATTTGACACTGCAATCTAGTACACATATAAATACAATTAAAACAAGAATTGCATGAAATACCCTTACGAGGAGCCATTCAAGCTACTTTTGATTACATTTTGTTTCATTAACAAAACATACAAAGGGAAATGGTGGATGTGACTGACCATATTGATTTCATGCCCTAATAATGTGTGACAACCACAATTTGAAAACTCTGCTTTAAGGAGATCTACTGCCAGCTGAAATATTCTAGGACTGCCTCTCAAATATAGATAAGAATATGACATTTCTTATTTGAAGGAAATTGGAGGTAAATCTTTTCATAAAGTCAAGAATCTTTCTATGGCTTAAGTAAATCAAGTTTTATATACATAGACCCTACTTGCTAGTCAGATTTCTGGCAAGTTCAATCAAAAAAATAAACCCACAAATTCTCTGGGTCAAAATACCAGTTATACTTATATTCTGCATATTTAATGATATATAGGTGTATCTTATTGGCTCTTAACACACAATTCTAACAACTTTTTCCCAGGCTACAACAAAGTAAAATATGACAAAGAGTAACCTGGTTTTGAATGAAGAAGGAAGAACTGAAAACCTTAGGAAGCAAATATGAACTACCAAAGCACAATAATCTAGGAATTTGTAACAATATAGGATTAATTTTTAATCTAGTACGTAAAGCCAGACCTATATGTGGTTAATATGTATGGTTTGTTTCCACTATTAAGTATATATATATGCTTGTCTATTTTAAATCACAGATATGCATCTCTCTCTAGATTTGTAAAACTGTTCTGCTTTTCCTCTTAAGTATACAACTGCCTAAATATTTTTATTTATATTTCTCTATGGAGGAAAGGATGGAACCAGGGAAATAAAAGAGTTCCAGAAAAAATAGGAGGTCCTCAAAGATCAGTATTAGTGGTCTCATCGGTGATTTGGGTCACACAAAAGTGTACAGCAAAGCTGAAATTATCAGGAATGGTTCATGATGGAGAAGGGTCAATACATTCCCTTACTATCAGTAACTATCAAAAATTGAGCTTTTCCTGATATAAAATTATATTTTTAAAATGTTCAGAATGTTTTACAAAGCCTTATAAAATTTTCTGAAAAATAATCATGAACTCTAAACACCATGGTTAATTCAGTCTTTAATTGTAGACTAAGATATCAACACCTTTTTTTTGTTTTTTAATTTATTTTATTTTTGGCTGTGTTGGGTCTTCATTGCTGTGCACGGGCTTTCTCTAGTTGCGGCGAGCAGGAGCTCTCTTCATTGCGGTGCGCAGCCTTCTTACTGCGGTGGCTTCTCTTGTTGCTGAGCACAGGCTCTAGGTGTGAGGGCTTCAGTAGTTGTGCGTAGGCTCAGTAGTTGTGGCATGCAGGCTCCAGAGCACAGGCTCAGTAGTTGTGGCACACAGGCTTAACTGCTCCACGGCATGTGGGATCTTTCCGGACCAGGGCTCGAACCCATGTCCCCTGCATTGGCAGGTGGATTCTTAACCACTGCACCCCAGGGAAGCCCGAGATATCAACACCTTTATGAAACATCCCTAAAACCTCTGAGTCTGGATTGTGTGTCTTTCCTGTGTCTATAGTTCTGTGGGCTAGAAGGTAAACTTCATGAGAGTAGACTTTCTCTTCTTCATAACTGTATCCTTACTATTTAGAATACATGACACACAGGAGGCCCTCAATAAATAACGGCTGAATAAATGAATGGATGGTTGGTATTGTTCAGAATGTTCAGTACAGTTTTTGCCCCCTTCTACCCTGCTCTGCTCCCCTCACAACAGGGGCTAGACCAGTCATAACAACCTATATCTCATATCGTTTAGGCAGAACTGTTGTGATCTAAGGACAAGTACTTAGGCCAGGCTGAAACAATCAGAATTTCTCTCTATAAATCTGAAACTTGACCAGCAACACAGAAAGAAAGAAGCCATTTAGAGCTGAGGCATTTGATGACAGCACTGCAGGAGAGGATCAGGTGAGTCCCTGCTTCAGTTGATCTGAGGCTCCTGGTTCTTGTTCTTTTAAAGACTTGTTTCCAACTCTGATATCAATTCTGTGAGTTACCCCAGAATTATTCCAATAAATTCACTTTTGATCTCATTAGTAGACTACATTTACTTGCAAATCAAAGAATCTAATCATGTAACCAAAGTAGAGGGTTAAAAATTTCCCCAGCGTCTTATTTTTACCTTTTAAACACAAATTATCTTAAGATAATTTTAAAGTTAATAATGCTTTTAGAGTCTATTTATAGATTTTCATGTTTGTGTACTTTATTGCTGGGTATGGATCATGAATTGCATGATACACCTTATTCCTTCTCCCAACAATTCTGTCATCAGATGGAGAACTTCTGAGTATGTATTTCCTCCTTTCTCCTTTCTATAGAGGGAAGGGAACTCTTGCTCCATTTCCCAGGAGTGAGCAATCGTGGATTAATACTCTGGAGCTCTTCTCTGGTCTTACTATTTCCAATTCAGAGGGGAGGAGTAGGAAACCCCATTCTGGCCTCAAGCCCAACCTGCAATCTCTAATCCAACTTTACCTTTAATAAAGCTGATATTTTGATCCCATTTGGCTCAGTTCTTAGTGTTTTTATTAACCAAACCCTGGAACAAAAGAAGGGTAAGTGGTAAGACCCAGATACCAAGCCTCATCTTGAATATCCAAATGATAACAACCTAGATCAACAAAGGTGAAGAATCAAATGAGATTCTTTCATAAGACAGATCCAATAATAGGGTATCCCAAACAGGAAAAAGTTCAGAGAAAATGTAATAAGCCAACCCTCCGTTCCCTATACACAATTATATGTCCCTTCGATAATAAATATAAACTGTCCGACCCTGGATTAGCCCACGACTACAATGAAGGTGTTAATGGAAGAGGAAAGGAAATCCTGTTAAATTTTTTTGCAAGGGGAGAACTACAGGAAGTTTAAGACAAAAATTGGTTAAAAAACAAAATAAAGTTCTTTTTAGTAGTAGGAGTCAGTGATGAACATAAATTATTATGATTATGCTCCATTAGTTTCAAAGGTAGAACTAAGGTGGGTTATTGTGAGGAAATGCACTGAAAAACTTTAGCTACAAAGAAACAAGAAGTGGCTTAAAGCTATGGGGAAAGAAGAAAGTTTACTATAAATCTCTGAAAAGGGAGATTAAACCTTAAACATTACATTAAGCTAAAACATTTTCTGGAAAGTAGGCAAAAGGACAAAATGGAGTTAAAGAGTTCTTATCAGTTTTTTTTCCCCCAAGTAAATTCTACTTCCTGGCATTGAGACCCCAAGGGATTTGTCACAAGAATCCTTATATAAGGTCAATAAGTTAACAGGAAAAAATAAGTCCTCAAATAAAGAAGTAAAAAAATACTATTTATGTTATCCATTCAGCCACTTTTAATACTAAAGTTTTAATAATTGCCATATCTTTTTGTATAATGGTTATATGAGTGAAAATATTTCTTGATATAACTAAGATCAACAGTTTAGGTATATTATTTTACAGTAATTCTACTTGATTTCGGTAGAGTTTAGAAAATCTAAAGAATGCACGGGTAGTGCACTCCTTAAACATTTTCAAATATATACTGCCTTGGCCTTGATATTGGTAGGCGCAAACGGTAATTATCTCAGAATTGAGCAATACGGACAAAACTGGAATGCAAATGTTTTCCAGGAATAGCGAAGTAATATTAGCAAGTTTTATTTAAAAAATAGATACTTTCTATTTTGAAAAGCAAACTAGTCTAACTTGGATTCTTGCTCAGATAAAAAAACTATCCTGTCTATTTAAGAAAGTAATTGATATTAGTTCTGCTAGGTAGAGATAACAATTTCCTCAAAGAGAAAAACTTCAGTCTTGCTGGATACCCTTAGAGGTAAATCAGTAAAAGAGCAGGACATTCAATGAACTAAGGAAAAATTACTTCAGAAACTACACCTCAGAGACAGAGTGGAGTAACACTTAATGGATTACCAACTACATACCAAGCACTGCACAAGGCATTTTATACATGTTATAATGTGGTTAATTCTCATCAATTCTGAAATGGTTAATATAATCCTGTTTTACAAATAGCTTAATTATATTGAATTAGTACACTGAACTAATTTACTGAAATCAATAAATTTCCTAAGATCTTACAGATAGTAAGTGGCCAAAACAGGATGCTAATTTTTGTCTGACAATAAAACCCAATTTTCTCCAAAGGCAACCAAACACCTCAACAATACCTGGCCACCTCAACCATAAATTAACCTTAGTACAGGTCTATTGAAGACCTAATTCATATAATTTTGAGCAGTCTTCTAATAAATTAATTGTAAGATATACCTGGATCTAATGGATATATCTATCTCTATATATCTAATGTTAATTTAGAGCTTTAGTATGTTTAGTTGAATACTAAAGAATCTGGCAAAAAACAATTTTGGTTTCAGTTTAGATGATGTACTATTCATATGCTTCATACTGATGGCAGAAAACCGTATTGTCATTACAAAGGAAGAGATTCTTTCACCTCTTCAATGGTAGATCATGAACACACAATATACATACACATATGTATGTTTTTGTGTGCATGTATATATATAAATTTCAAGTGGAAATTAGTTAATTAAACATTTACTTTAGAGTTTATTAAGACAATTATACAGCTTAATTCATATTAACTAAAGGCTGATGATAAAAATCTTACATTCTTAACTCATTTCTTAGTGAAATTAAGCAATTTGAATGATCAGTAGAGAAATGTTAAAATCCACCTGTTCCACATGCAGACTTTCAGAGATTTAACGCTGTAATTTGATAAGAAAGCTGGGTTGGGGTTTTAAAGAAACAGTAAAAGAATAAGAGTATCACTGAGGAAAAGAAACATCACTCGTTTTCTAAGATGTGGTAAACTATCAGTTCTAAAGAGGTAATTAGGCAGGGATTAGGACCTATTTCTCAAGCCATAATTTAAACAATCCCCACTTGCAACTTTAAGATTATTTTTTGATGAAAATAAAGTAAAATAGAAATCAATAGCTGAATGAATGGGTATTACAGACAGTCACAGATGTTCTTTATATTACATGAAGGTAAGTTTTGTTTTTTTTTAAAGCACCTAATCCAAATATTAATAAATGATTAATGACAAAATGTTTTACGTACCTCCAACAAAAAGATCAATTCCTCCAGCTTCTTTTATTTTCTTTTCAAATGCATCGCATTCTGCTTGTAAATCTGTAGCATTCCCATCAAGGATATGAGCATTATTAGGATCTATATCAATATGCTTAAAAAAGTTATTCCACATATAAGAATGGTAGCTTTCAGGATGATTTCTGGGAAGTCCTAAATACAGAGTTAATAAATAAAAATGTAACTATTTCCAGAAATAAATCTAAAGTTTACTTTTCTGATTAAGCCATAAATGCTACTTAAAATATGTAACATTTCTATACCATATTCAATTTAAAAGCATTTTTATATGGAATATATGCTTATTATGTGCCAGGCATTACTTTAATCACTGTACATTTATGTATTGACTCAATTAATGTGTACAGTGTCTATGGAAATAACTATTATCAATCTCACTTTATAGATGAACAGAAACACAGAAAAGTAACTTTCCCAGGGTCACAGAGCTCACAAAGGGGCTGGAGCACAGAAGTCTAGTTCATGTGCATGTAATCACTATATTCCCCTTCTAAAATACAAAATTTTAACCAATAAAACTGATTTATGTGTTAAATTCAACATAAATTAAATGGCCACACAACTGAAGTCTTGATCTGCATTCTTCCTCTGTTATTCCTATTTACATGCAAGGTATACTAAATTACAACAGTTCTTTGACAATGACTCAGGCAACCGTTAAAAATGTGTACCTATAAAATTTTAATTTTAACACAGAGTTTATATGTATCACTGATCTTTCTAGTTAAGCAAGGTCACAATCAATAAATTATAAAAGCTTCAAGGCTACAAATAGCCTTATATTTAAAAAATATTTTACTAATTACTTTTACATACATATTAATTCATTTATCCCCACAACAACACTGGTTTTAACTTTGCCTTAAGAAAAAAAGAAAAAGAGAAAAAGAGAGAATGAGAAATGTGAATGAATTGGATCAAAGTCGATGGAGCCAGGACTGGTAAGTGGCATAGCTGAAGACGAATGCAAATCTTCTCATTTCTAGTCTCACGGTCCTTCTACTATGTCATGCCTGTCATTACAAAAATAGTTTTTTTTATATAAACTCCCAACCCCACTACAAGGTAATACATTATACTCTAGAAATATATTCATATTACATTCAAAACAAATTTAAATAATGTTAATATTCTCAATATATTAATTTTATTTAAAATATAACATGTCCAAATAATATATTCAAATAATATAGCTTACCTACATATTCATCCATGTTAAAGGTCTTCACATATTTAAAAGAAAGGTCTCCATTCTTGTGATATTCTATTAGTTTTTTATAACATCCTAAAGGTGTACTCCCTAAAACAGATAAAGATTCCATTTTCTAACGTAACTTGTAAATCTAATTTAAAAAAAAGTTTATATTAACCTTATTCTCTTCTTAATAGTATTTTATATTTCTAATTTATTAGGCAAACAATTATCAATTTAAATACACATTCAGTTAACCAATATATGTTGAATTCGTCTCTCTACAAGGTAACCTAAAATTTTAGTAAACTAGAATTTGCTGAATAAAGCTGGGAATCTGTCAGCAGAAATTATAGCTTGGAAAATTATTCTTGTGTCGTTGGTTATTTGGAATTAATGGTGTATATTCCAGGATTAGAAACTTCTAGAGAGCACATGTGAATTAGAAGAAAAATAAACGTCCCACCTTTAGAGAAAAAACTATTTAGAGAGGGATTTGTAGCATAAATGATACATAAATAGGTCAAGTATTGACCATTCAATGAAATCAAAAGGGAAACCAGAGCTGAATTTAAACACTGCCTCTACTTTCAAAATAGAAAGTGACAAGGATTGAGTGAGGAGGCTTATCCTTTAAGTTTTTAACTGGAGCTCCTGTTTCTCATTTTGTGTTATTTTCAGCATATATCAGCTAAAATGTATAAAGTAAAATGATTTCTAGGAAATGGGATCTTGGCTTTGGATACTTCATCTGAGTTCTTAATGTTATTGTTTTATAAATGTGATTCTTTTATGTTTTATAAAATTAAGATCTGCTTGATAGTGCTCCATGAAACGACACAATAAAGATAAACGAATTTAGCCACTTGAGGATGGCCTCCCTTTGTGTTTTAAATTTGCTGTATTTTTTCATTTTAACTACAAATTCGAAGACTAGATTGACTACATTCTTACAACAAGCAACCTGGCCCACACAATCCTGGTCAGAGTATTGGTTTCTAGTCCACCCACCATCACAAAACAAAATAAAACACCCAAACACAAAATTTCTCAAGAGGCAGGGAGAAGTATGGCAGAACTAAGCAGTCTCTGGCCAAAAAAAAAAAACACCAGAAAAACAAAAAAACAACAAATACAAAAAAAATCTAGAGTAGTAAAAAAAACTGACTCTCATTTAAGATGACAGAATAATAGAAGTGGCTAAATATCATACAGGTTCACAGAACAGAAGACTAATACGTTTTCTTAAAGTTAAGCACATATATTGTTTTAAATTGTCATTAATAATTTAAAATTTATGTGGTCAAACTTTACAATTCCTTCTCAAAGAACTACAGCCCACTAACATGAAACCTGGATAAAAGATGGATAAGTATGCTTTTCTTTCTCCTTTTCTAGAAGCATAACAAATTTTCTGTGTGTATCTTTCAGTGTCAAGAGAATAGTTATAGGACTCCCTCCGTAATTTAAGGACATATGAATATAAAAAGAAGTTGTCACAATAGTGATAAAAAACACATTCGTTTTCTACTTTTTAATCAAAGTGGCTGAATAGAAAACAATCAATGGAAGATATGGTACACGGTGAACTGGTAAAAGAAACTTCATTTTAATATATTTGCTTTGCAATACTCATTTACTAACATAACTAATTTAGCAAGTGCTTACTATGATTCAAATAAAACAAAGATTATGACTGTTTCTACCCTAAAAGAACTCACAGAATACAGATAGACAAGTACAAAGTAACTATAACACAAGGAAAAATATAAATAACCTATAAGAAGTCTGGGGCAGTATAGTGAATCAAAGAAGAAAACACTATAGTCTTGCTTGTGGGAGGAAGGATGAAAGATGGCATTTCAACTGAGTCTCTGAAGAAGTGAAATTCCCATAATCAAAGAATGGGTTAAGTTGTAATTGAAAATAGAAAAAAGATGGGGGAGGAGGTTCAGAGATGACACTTGTATGCCTACCATGTGCTAGATGCTATGCTGGTGTTTCATACATTAGCAAATGTAAATCTCACAAGTTTGGGAAATTGGCATTATCTTTCCCATTTTGAAGGTGGAAGAATTGGGGTAAAAAAATTAAGGAATGTGCCAAATATCACACACATGGCAGTGAAGCCATATATTCAAGAGATTCTCATAAAGTTCTTATTATACAGTATGCTAGCAACATGAGTGAAAGTAAAGCCAGCAAGTTTAGGCCTGTTCTTTGAACTACAAGCAATGTAACCTGCCTACCCTGATTCAGTGTAGAGGAATAGTGGGAATAAGTCTGGGAGGCAGGCTGGGCCCACAGCATGCAGGCCCTTAAATGTCAAGCTTGTCAACATCACTTCAATAAATATATTACTGAACAGGGCTTCCCTGGTGGTGCAGTGGTTAAGAATCTGCCTGCCAATGCAGGGGACACGGGTACAAGCCCTGGTCCGGGAAGATCCCACATGCTGCGGAACAACTAAGCCGGTGCGCCACAACTACTGAGCCTGCACTCTGGAGCCTGTGAGCCACAACTACTGAAGCCTGTGCGCCTAGAACCCGTGCTCCGCAACAACAGAAGCCACCGCAGTGATAAGCCTGCACATCACAACCAAGAGTAGCCCCCACTCGCCACGACTAGAGAAAGCCCACACGCAGCAGCGAAGACCCAACACAGCCAAAAATAAATAAATAAATAAAATTTTTTAAAAAAGATATATACTGAACAGATATTCCCCAGAATTGTGCTTGGTGGGGTGTAATTAGGCATGATTAACACTCTCATTGGTCAATGAAGGAGAAAAGTAGAAAATGTTAACAAAGGTTTTCCAGAGATATACCCTTAGCAGAGGTATTATTAGGCAGTAATACTATCCAAAATAAAGCAGAAGAATTGTATATCAAAATACACAAAAACATGTTTAGCACTGCTGGCGTTTATGGCTCTGAAGCCTTTCTGCTCCCATACTCAAATTACTGTTTATTTCTTCATAATTAAGACAAAGTGATTAAGGCAGCTAGTCTGAGCATGGCCCGGTTTACAGAAGGCAAACTGATACAGAGGCCATGTTCAACCACTGGGGCTCACATATCAGAACTGTGGGTGCTGAGGGGGCCCATTTCTGGTGTGCACAATTAAAAAAAATTCCTTTGCCATTCTTACCAACACCTACTGCCATGGACCGAAAAACAAAAAGCAAAACAACAAACAAACAAAAAATCAACTTGGTGAGCTAATAGTATCTTTCATGGAAATTATGCAAGTGAAAAACAATTATGATTGTAGCTTTTCTATAGTTGACATGTATGGGGGGAGGAGCAAAAGGAAAAAATACTGTTTAAATAAAACACACTTAAGAGAACCTTAAATTTACATAGTGTTTACAGTATACAAGGGACTTGCTCTTATTTGAGCTTCAAAACAGCATTGTAAACTATTAATTTCCTTATCTTCCTTAAAAGTAAGAAAAACAAGATTATGGTGTAGAATAAATGCCCTTCAGTCACCAAGAAAGTAGCAGCTCTGATTCCAGGTCCAAAACTCTTTCCTATGTAAGTCAACAATATCAAATAAAGTACCATGTATCAGTGACACTACCTGGTTATTTTTTAAGAAAAACCTTAACCGAGAACGAAATCCAATAAAGTGTATAATTAATGCTTATGTTCATTCTGTCATGAAGACATACCTGTCTTCAATTTTTCACCTGTAATACTTCTAAAATAGAAAATAATCACAGAAATAGCAAAGGGCTAATAAGCTAATATGAGGCATATGAGGTAAAATTAAGAGGCAGTAGTACATATTTAAGGTACCTCTTAATGATCAATGAGAAGGCTAATCTCCCAAGAAATTGCATGAATAGTGAAAGCAACATCCCTAAATACAAACAAAAGACTACTAGAAAAAGGTACAAAAAATATCATGACATGACCTGAGCTATATTTCCTTTTCAATTCTGGAGTGGTAGGTGAGACAGAATTTTAACAAATAGTAATGAAACTTAGGTACCAGATATGTCTGTATCTATATATTTGACTTGATATCCTAATATGTTAAATCAGTGATATGACAAGAAATAAACAGGAAACATATTTTACTAAGAAAAAGCCTTCAATCCCACAACCTTGAGTACCTAATATGGAAAAAAATGGTGCATTACCTGTTGGCAAACCCAGTGTAAAATATCTGTCCTGTCCAGGTCTGAATTGAATGATGCGATTACAGATGTATTTGGCTGCCCATTCACTAGCCAAGTCATAGTTATCAAGAATTACAAGCCTCATTATGGTGATGCACAGCTTCCAGGACAAGAAGTTCAAACCTGAGAAAATTCCATTGTAGAGCACTTTAAGTAATTTACAGTCAAACAGAAGTAAAATACATTGATGACTTTAAAAAGGACAGTACTTAAGAAAGACATGCATGTATACAAATACAATCTGTACTTTTAAAATAGTAATAATGGCTGTTCTCTTTTGAACGAACTTTGAGTTCTGGGCAGTGGGCTAGGTCATTTAAGTACAAATATTAATTCTTACAACAACCTTCTGAAGTACATACAACATCCAGTTTTAGATGAGTAGAGGGACTGAAACAATTTGACTGAGTTCACACAGTTACTAAGTCACAAAGCTGAAATTTATATCAAGGCAAATTTACCATAAAGACATCACACTGCACTATCTCTACAGGTATACTATATAAAGCAACATAAAACAAATCTAAAGGCAAACAAAGCAGCACTCATTTATTGATTGCAAATTAATGGTAGTAGTGATTACTCAGCATCTTTTGGGTTACTTACTAAAATCCAGAACTCTCCCTATGAATGATGTAATAACCAAACCTCCCTTCTGTATAAAAGTGATACCTGCACTTTAAAAATTTTCAATCAATACAGAAAGATACAAAAAAGTTAAAAAAAAAAAATCGACCCAAATCCTGCCACTCCGGAATAATGCTCATTAATATTTGGTATACATCATTCCAGGTATCTATCTAATGCACACATATAAATAGGATGTATAGAAATAATTTCTAACAATGGGATCATACTAGACATGCTATTTTTAACAAAAAGCATAACGAATTGAATTCTTTCTGCATTAAACAGAAGCAAAAGAAAAAGTGAACTAAAGAAACTGCTCATCTCTGGGGGAAAAAATTCTTCACAAAAAGCAATTTCAGTTCCTAAAAAAATATTCTAAGGTTAAGAAAAAATATTATACATATATTAAGAGATCAGCATCATTTCAAAACTATATGATTCCATTTTAGACAACGTGGATTGACCTATTACCATGAAAGATGTGAAAATCGCATTTTTACACTTCCTCCCACCCCGATTTCTGTAAGATGTATTATTTTATACTGCCAAGATTTATAAAATTTACAATGTGTTCTACAACCATAATTCCCAGATTTTAATTCTTAGTTTTATACTTAAATGGATTTGTTACTCACACCAATCCTTTCACAAATGGCTTCAGCAGTCCTGAATTCTGTACCCACAAACCATACATAAAGAAGTCAAAATCTTTACATTAGTGGGAGTAGGAGATCTTATTACAATGAAAACACTGAATCTAAATATGTCCTTAAGAACATGATGATTTAGATTCTGGCATAACAAAAACTTACGATCACCATGATCTAGAGTTATGGCACAATAACAAGAGATAAATATCATTTACAGACAATAATTTACACAGTAAGTCATGAATTCAGTCCAACAGATGGACTTGGCCTCCATTTAAATTCATTAATAATCTAATGGCAGAAACAATTTCAAAGTTACACCAAAGAATCAGAAACATTTCCTGGCTGTTTTAACCATCAAGAGATATACTTATCTCTAATAAGAATATTCAGCAAAATGACTACTGATAAAAAGAGAAAAAAAAAAAACCCTGTAAGGTGAGGAGGAGGAATGGCATTAGAGCTTTCCAAGTGTCTTCTGTGTTTTGGGGCATGCTATTTCTTTTCTCAGTTCAACACACTTGTGAGGGAGGGCCTATTAAATGCCAAGCACTAAGCTCTGTAGACACAAAAATGTCAAAAACAAGGATCCTACTACTATCAAAGGGCTTAGACTCAATAGTCTCTGAAGAAGAACTTATCCTCATTTTTCAGATAAAGAAAACTGCAACTCACAAGTTTATTACTGATGTTATAAAGCTATTAAGTGGTGGAGGGCCTATCTGACTGAAAGATACATGCTTCCCAAAAGTGCCTTATAAGGAAGAATCACTTAGGATGCCTGTTAAAAAGATTCCCCGGACCTTTCCCTGGACACGGTGTTTCAGAAGATATGAAATGGGGTCCACGGAATCTGCACTTTTACAAATATCACAGGTGATTCTTACAATCAGGACACATTTGGAAAATAACATCATACAAGATGACTTCATTGCACAGAGGTTCAAGTAAGCCTCTCAGACCAAGTACAGGCACGTTTTGCTGTCTTAAACTCTTCCGCGAGTCTACAGTTCAGTTCCAAAAGTCCCAAATGAATCACCTCACCCAGAGAAAAGTAGAATGCCACATGTGTTCAGATTTTTAAATGTGTCTTTTTCCAGTTTTTGCCAATCCTCACACATCTGAACTGCTGCTGCGGTCGACCATTCTCTGACATCTTGACCCGACAGCACTCAAAAAATGACACAGCACCACCCCTGCCCTCATCTTCCTCTGGTGCTGATTCATTTTGGGTGTGCGTCCCTTGGACAAAGAGCTGCCAAACACAAACCTCAGAACTTTAAAGCTGGATGGGAACTTCTAGACGATTTGGGATACACAGCTATTTTAGAATCTGTACTAGAATCTGGAATCTAGGCTTACAGAATCGCTGCTCTGTGCTTTT